ACCAACCCGTTGGCCTTCATTTTGGGAATCTTCTTCTTGTTTATTTTCAGAACCCTGGGCGCTGTTGTCCCATTGAATTCTGACACGTCGTATCACACAACCCGCCAGCCATTTATTATGTCTCTCCGCGTTCACCTGGACCGCTATTGCCAACAGCGAGCTATGTCCCACGAGAGGATCTCACCTACACGACGCTCACGCTCTCCAACCAGGACGTCATCTTCCGCTATGGGCTCTACGTCATTTCGGCACCCACCAAACCGGTCTTCGCCTCCGACACCTCACCGACCGGTTATTTTCCAGTTGGACCTGAAGCCGATGCAACAACTGGCCGTACGCAACCCTTATTACAACATCTTGACCCCCACGGTCGCGGGCAACCTTCCTACGGCCACCTATGACAGCTTGTTCCAGACGTTCAAGGTGATCTACCCGGACTATGCTCGCAGTCATTTCGTTTCAGACCTCAAAACCGTAGTCACCGACACACTGCTACAACGCTGGTCCATACACCTACCAGCGTCGGAGTTCTACATGATGATTGACACCGATCAAGGAGCTCAGATGCTTGACGACCTTCCTCACTCTCTTCTGGATGTTTTGAATTGGTTCTACCCGAGATGGAAAACTCATCAACATCTCGATGCCTTCACGACCCGCGAGTGTTCTCCGTTGCTGCTGACACCACATCCAGATGCACAAGACACTGGCTTTGCTGTACATGTTCAAGTGATTCCCCGTGGACATCCATTCGTCACGGCCACCCGATACACTAAAGCCGCTGAGTGATTAGCCGTCTTGATGGATCTTGACACGGCTCATGTCTATGAGGAAAAAGACCAACATTCGTTGTGATGTCCACCACCCCGGTTCTGATTTTCCCTTGTGTCATCCTTTTCTCGGTTTCCATTGGGTGATATTCGTTATTTATTCCTTCATCATTGACCTTCCCCACGGCCTTTTGGCTTCAGTTTAGTATTTCCCGCTATCATATTCTTTTGATCGTACATGATGACCTCCAACACGGATGATCCTGCTCGATTGGTCTCGCACGGTTCACCACCTACATCCATACATGGCCTTGCCTCACACTTGCCACCGGATGATCCTACCTCGGCATCCTATATTCCTCGTGCAGCGAGAATGATTCCGACCTCTACCACTGTCCACTCCGTCTTCATCAAGAAGCTGAGCTATCCTTTGTCTAACCGTTCAGATGAACTTTGGATCGTGGAAAGGACACTTGATGGTCTTGAAACGTGGAAACCAGTGGAAACATTCCTGGAGAACATGCACCTCACCAACGACCAGGCAACCTTGCGTACTACAGCCAACCATTGGCGCAGATACTATGACGTACCAATTCAACCATCATCCTCCTCCCCTACGGCAACTACTGTTCCCGATTTACCACACCCTGAACACTCCAACGTCCATGTCTCACAGCCGTACGAAGCGATACCGGACCACCTCCATATTTTACAGTCATGCTGGGGACGCTCTGCCCAACACCATTCTCAAGGAACCACTACCTCTTTATATTGGCCACCTTGGCGGTCTACACCACCGTCTTCCCCACCGGCAACACTACAACGTACTGTATATCTCACTCGCCCCGCTGTCCCTCCTCAACAAGTACATGGTCCGTTGGATGCGAACGATATTGACCCGATGGATATGTCGGATTCAAGTGTGTAATATACCACATTATTTGTCGGCGGAAAAAAGACCTGTGATTCATCGTCTCTTTGTGTGACCACCTACTAGGTACACCGTTTCTCTTTCATTTCTAACACTTTGAGCTTGTTTCTGTGGCTATTCCAACCCATTTTGCAGCTTGGGCTTTTCGCTTTATCCTCGATACTTCACATTCGACGCAATGGCTCGTTCTTCTCGACCCAATCCATATCGCGCTACATCCACGATTGAGACACCGCTTGGTACACGAACCGTTGGGTGGATTGCTGGACATCGAGGCCTCCCTGGTGATGCGAACCCTCCTCCAAACAGACCTGTCCTTATCTTGGTTGACTTCTCTCCCTTACAGGCATTGACTCACCGAAGCGAACCTGACCGTGAACACTACATGGCTCTGGTGAACTCCAATTTTAGACATGTCAGTGGCTTTGAACTTGCAGCTTTGTTTACCTGGTCACGTCAGATGGAACCAGTTGAAGCCGGCCTCATCCCAATTGCCGAACTCCGCTTTTGTATCTCCAAAAGATTGAGGTCCCAATGGGACATCCAAATTGACCCCTCGAACCTGGAGTTTCGCTTTTGCGACTTGGACGGTGATACATTCCAAGTTTCCAATGATATGACGGTCTTGCAGCTTTTGGAGGCATACCGACCTGAGTGGCGACTTCGGCAGTACAATTCCCGCGAATCCTCTTTCCTCATCCCGGGTACCAGACAGCCTTTCGTACTACGCTTGCAATGCTACAAAATTAGCTCCGGTGTGATCCTGCCCTGATGCGCTAGCCGGCCAAAAAAGACCATGCTACAGGGTTTTCAATTCCTCCTTGACACCCCACTAACACAAAGGATTTTTCGATTTCTATTTTATTTGACCTGGAGCTGTGGCTTCTCCTCGCAATTGACCCACTTGATTGAGGACTGGATTTCACTTTTATCATTTTTGTGAATTTTATCAATTTCGTGATTGGCTTTCTTCTGCAATTCTTGATGCTTCAGCCGTTGTTGCACTATTTCTCGTATTTGTGACAGTTTCACCCATGGAACACAAACGAGACGCGACCGTGGCGGGCTTGTCTTGGCCTTCGAACCCTACTCGTGGACTCGCTCCTACCGACCCAGTTCAAGTACCAGACGCCTCGACTTCTGCACTATGTCACTCAGGAGCTCCCGACACTACGACCAACCCTACTCCGGCACCTTTGGTAACTGACAGTACGGCACCTGCTACGGGTACCCTGGCCCATTCTGATACATATTCAGGACCAGCACCTCCTGGCGTTCCATTTCCGACGGAGTCAAGTTCTACACACAACTACCTCCATCGTGCTCAATTCTCTTCTCGCGTGGTTCACCAGATCCAATTCAAGGTCATTACCCACTCCAACAACACCAGGGAGCTATTCATTGAAGAAATTCCTTTGTTAGGGCATTCCCGATGTCGTGACCCTGAACACTATTTCTATGGTCTCTCCGGAAACTGGGAGTGGTCCCTGCGCACAGCGGACTATTGGCGACATCATTTTGAGATTCCCCTTGTACATGGACACCATCCTTTTCACAATGTGCCCATTGAGACGACATCTCCTGGAGATGAACCCAGGCTGACCACCCGGATCTATGAATTAGCCAAAGATCTATCTGACACCTTGAAGGCTGCTACGGCATCGGGGGAATTCGATCAGACTTGGGCGATGGTTGAACGCATGAGCTTCCACGATGCTATGGAAGTCCTTCTACAAGCTCCGAATTCCTCTTCTGACTGAAGTGACCGCCCGTTTGTACCTTAGGTTATTACAGGTTCACTTTCACTGGTGTCTTGCCGATTCCGCCAGCGAAGTTCTTCCAAAAAACCGACCTCGCTACATGCGAGGTGTGTGTGTGTGTATCATCTGAACAGATGTAAAACTTCTGATTGGTTTTCACTAATTTGCAGGGGGCCAGGAACCCATGACTGTCTGTCCTGGCCAACGAAGACCAGACAGCATGGGGGTGAAAACGTACCTGCGATTTTTTGAACTGTTGAACAAGCTGTTACACTGCGTTGTTTCGAATCTACACGGTTGCCACAATCTGTATTTCCTGCATCAGAACCTTCCTCAGATTTTCGCCGAAACCATTTCGCCGACAGTATTAGGTTTTTTGACTTATTTTCGCCGAGATCCTGTCGCCGACGAACTATGGGTTATTTTGGGAAACAATCGCCGAAACATTATTTTGGATTTCAACATGCTGGTCAAAACTCTATGGAATCTGGTTATGACTACGTTTGACAATTTCGGATGCCCTACATCGTTTTCGAGAAGTACCTCATGTGGCTCTTTTATTCATCAAATAATCTAGGCTGGTTTGCATGTTTCAGGATTCAGTTCCTGCCGGATCATATAATGATCCATTCTTGTCTAGTGTGTGAAACATCTGAAGAGATGTAAAACTTCTAATATTTTGCCTTTCCGCTCTCTTTGAGTGTCCGTTCTTGTCATGGTTTTCGATGGTCTTCATTTATTGTCGCATTTACAATTTTCCAGCAGGGGGTAGCGGCAGATCATTTGGGACCGCTACCAACGAAGACACCCATTTGATCTGGTGATACAGATTGGGACGCCAATCTGCGTACCTGCAATTTTCCATTTTCCAATTTTCCATTTCCAATTTGTCGTCAATGGCAACCGGCCAAGCCTAGAACCGGCACGTCGATCCGTTACAGCATTTCTCAGTTGTCACTAGAGGGATCCATTTCTCATTTTGCTTCTAGCACTGGACAAGGCGATGGTACCTTTTCGAATTTTCTCGGGTCTTTTCACCGACCCCTTCCAGTCAGGTGTAATTGAAGTGTTTTTGCACGTAAGATGCATTCCACATCAGAATTCGCAAAGATTGTTCTGAGCAAGTGTGTGTCAACGTTCCAGCTTCTACAACAGAAGTAACCGACCTTTTTTTCGGCATAGCCGCTTCAATTTTTTTTTGGTGGTGGTGGGTTGTTATGTTTGTGTTTTTAGTTATGAGTCATGATATATAAAAAATGTGTGTAGTTCAAATTTGACGCGTTACATAGCTCAACAGCATTTTGACCGTGGGAAAGGTGTTCGTTTGGGAGTAAATGCTGGGCAGGCTTGTTTGTGAAGCGATAATTTCATATAATTTCATAATATTTCATATAATTTCATATAATTGCCATAACTGATCACAGCTGTCGACTGTGTTGGGGATTTGGGGGCTGGGGTTCCAACGTATACAACCCATCATGAACAGAATCGGAGCCAAATTCGAAGGCTCGCCAGCAGAAGCAAGTTGTCCTGTTGCAGGACACACTGATCGTGAACCTTGTCAAACCCTACAATGTGAGGGTTGTTCTGAACAGCAAGTCATGCTCAGCCGGGGAAGTTTAAGATTCCCAATTGTTTGAATGCTGGAGCTCTTGGATTTTAGATGTGGCAAAAGGGTATGTCCTAGTTTTTGGGACGGCGTTTTGGGCTCTTACAATGATTCATGATTGGGCCAGCAGAAGGCCCCCATCAGTATCACAAAAAGGCTGAGAACTTTGATTCATTGCAATGAGCTCCAGATGTGGCCGGTAGCTGGATAGGTGTAAATTCAAGATCTTCTTCCCTACAGACTCGAACCTGGAAGGTCTACAGCTTCAGCTGTTTTCCTATTGGCGATGACCTATTCGAACATGTTCCATATCAAGGCAATGCCCTTTGGATGCGACTTGACAGTATGAGAAAAGCAACCACCACTAAGAAACATGGTTTCTTTCATCTTCCGTGGATGTAGATCCCATCTTGGTTGCTGATTTTCGTTTTTTTATGGCTATCATTTCATGGTGCATATGCATGCATATATCACATACACTGTAGTTGATGCAGCTCATGGATGTTAATGAGGCTTTCGCGATTTTCCCTGGAGGGTTTGGCTCTCCGCTCCAGTGTCTCTTTGGGCCCCGGGTAACTTCTCGATCCGCGAAATGGCTGCAGTGCTTCTCTTGGTGCTGCCGTATCTGGGATCTTGAAATGGCAAGGAGGGATCGTCATTGAGGATCGTCCCACTTAATAACTCGTTAGGAAGTAGGGTTATAACCCCACTTTAGGGGACTTACTAAGAGTTAACTAGTTTTGGTTATGAACCAGTTACTACTGTAAGTGGGATGATCCTTCAAGTAACCGCCCGCAAGAATGCAAATGTGGCACTATGACTACATTAATCCCCAAATTTGAAAATAATGTGGTATTATTGGTCCTGTCACTTCGATATAGTCATATCACGGTAGTAGTGTAAACCCTAAACCGCAAACCATCCCAATATAATCCCACATGTATATAAATGACATGGTAAGAACTATCCCCTAAATGGCAGGTAGTTTTTGTAATCCTATTCCCCTAATATTAAGTACCCCATCCAATGGTTCCGAAAAGATGTTGTTTCTTCATCCCCTACTTTTGCAACGTTTTTTTTTTGGGGGGGGGGCGGCGTTCAATATCAGGGGAGGGGATGATTGGGTTTACAACCCCATCTATGGATATACCATGGTATATCCACCACCATATCATTGCTCAAAAAACATGCCCCCGATGATGGAAGGTTAAAAAATCATATTCCCTTCCATTATGGACATCTTCCCTCTATTCATTTCCATAGTGGTTAAAATGTCAGCAGCCCTACGGTACTTCAGGTTCCTGGCTGCCGCCAGTCCCGGCCTGCGCGGCGACGGCGCTTCCAGTTATGTGGACAGTGTGCAGTGCAGCGGCAGCGGCGCGTTGCCCGAGAACGCGGCCGGCCTAGTGGGGAAAGATAGAGAAATTCTGTACTATTTGGTTTACAAATGTTTCCAATGCGTATAGGAACCACCAAAACTGGTGCAGGAGAAGTTGTTCCAGCCTTTTCCAGGTTTCTATCATTTGTAGGTTGCTATCAATGGTTCATGCCAGCAATAATTTTAATGTAACGATCTGATAGTTCTTAATGACACACACACACACACGCACATATCTATATTATATGTAGATAGTATGCTTCATACAGTTCAACCATTTCTTAGCCAGCCCTCTCTGCCCCGTTCTGTCCCTGGACATTTTGGAACCTGAGGTGTGCTTCAGCGGCAGTATCCTGAAGCAGACCTTTGACATTGAGGTGGTCAGCTATGATGGCACCTTGGAGGAAGCACAAACTTCAACTTGGTTGCATCTCCAAGGTCAGTGTATCTGGGGGTTTCCATAAATGGCGATACTGGGATACCCCTAAATCATCCGTTTTATATAAATAATTTTAATGAGGGTGTCCTTTATAAACCATCCAGTATACGCCCTATTCATTTAGTGCATCCGCGACAGCAGTGATATGCCACGGCCGTCCGAGGTACAACTGGCAAGGTCAATTTGAAGGCGGTGAATCATCCCTGGTTTGCCAAGCTGTCAACCAAGCATATAATCCGATATTTTTTTTGATTGGTGCATGAGCCATGTGTTTTGACAGAAAGTGTGACTAGAGAAAATAGACCAGGTCTATTTTGTGGAAGCATGGAACTTGGCAATGCGGTTGAGGTTGCAAATGGGTACAATCATATAACCATGGTTTGTTTAACCCCGTGAAGTTGGTGGGATATAGCCCTTATAACTATGGTAATGCAAGAAGGGGATCCCAATTGACCATGTTGAAAAACATGACTGGCACTGGACCGGCTAGAACCAAAAGAAAAACAAATTTCCGCTCCCTAAAAATGATCCGGTGCCTTCAATCGCTATGCATCTCTTATACCCTATGACAGTCTAAGTTGACCATCGAGAACGTTGGGCAAAAAAAAGGGTTCCATGTTAGCGCACCCATGTTAAAATTCATGAGCGGGATAAGTGCCAGGTAGGTGCCATGTTGGTGCTAGTGAATTTGGAGATTTTTGCACAATTTTTGGCTGCATGGCATACTAACATAGAACCCCACAAGCTGCCAGAGAGCGCTCAGCCAAAAGTTCCATGTTAGCCATGGCGGCTGACACGGGGAATTCGGAACCATTATGCTCTTTGTGGTGGTTGATGGATGTAAGATGCTACATAATAACTCTTTTGACTCAATGAATCATTTTGTCCAAGATAAATTCCAAAGTACACATTCTGAAGACAAATTTAAACACATACAGTACATGTCAAAACACACACACACGGAAAAAAAAAAACATATCCTCAACACATCTTACAAACACATCGAAAACATATTCAAAACGTAAAGAGTAAACAAAAACATATATTCAAACGATCTATTCATTTTCAATTTTTTATATGTTGGACAAATACTTCCCATTTACCCACCAACATTTTTCATTTTTTCATTGTAGCTTTCCCGTTGGGAGGACCTCCGGCCAGAACCTCCGGGCGCCGAAGCCACGGGCGCCGAAGCCACGGGGACACATAACGGGTTCCAAGTGAGATTCCCCGTTGACCCAGCGGGAGACCCTTGCTCGAGGACTTCGGCCCAACAGAAGAAGCTCCGGGCGGGGCCTCCGGGCGCCAAAGCCACGGCGACACTTACCGGGTTCCAAGTTAGGTTCCACGTTGACCCAACGAAGACGCAACGGCTCGAGGACTTCGACCCGTGGCTTTGGCGCCCGGAAGCCCCGCCCGCACCTTCCGCTGTTGGGTCGAGCAAGTGTCTCCCGCGGGGTCACGTCGAATCTAACTTGGAACCCGGTAAGTGTCCCCGTGGCTTTCGCGCGCGGAGGCCCCGCCCGAAGCTTCAGCTATCGGATCGAAATCCTTGAGCCGTTGCGTCTCCCGCCTGCAGCATCCGGTCCATTTGAAAGCAACTTGAGCAGCGTTCTAAATTCCCCTTTACTTGTTTAGCATTGGGCTTGAAATAATTCCATCAAGTCGTAAGACTTTCCTTGGGTTTCGTAAGCAGTGCGAAAGGTTTGACGTAAGCATTGGTCACAAACATGTTGCCGTAAGCCGTTCGTAAGTCCATGTCGGGCCATGAGAGCTGGGGCTCAAACAAGGTTGTGTGCTTCATTTGGTGCATGCTATTGCATGCTATTGAATGTCGATGATTAATTATGCCATTATGCCATTGCATATAGGGAAAGCAGGCCAGAGCGAATGCTACTTTCTTCGCGGTATTGTTTGAACATCAAACCAAAATTCACAGAATCCGAATCGGAGATCGGAAATTGCCGTAAGCTCGGCGTAAGCAATCCGTAAGCGAGTCGTAAGCGAAGGTTGCCTTCAGTGACCCCTGGCACAGAGTTGGCAAGGCCGAAGCCGGCAGTTGAGGTCCAGCAGTGCCCACTGCGCACGGAAGTTGGCGAAGAGTTGGCAAGGCGGAAGTGGACGTGGAAGTTGATGCAGACATGGTCGAGGAGAAACTGGAGGCGGAGGAAGAGGAGGAGGCGGAGGAGGAGAAGGAGGAGGAGGAGGAGGCGGAAGAACAGCTCTGATAAAATCTAACAACCTCACCTGGTAGGTGGGGAAAAATGCATCTTCCTAGCACGTGTTTTTCACTAAAATTTCACTCTTTGGTTTGCCGGGAAAGTTTGCCGTAAGAGATGCGTAAGCTAGTTCTTTGAAGTTGCTGTGCCGTAAGCAAAACCTTGGAAAACGTAAGCGAACGTAAGCTCCTACGTAAGCTTTGAATTGTTTCTCAGGAGATCAAAAGGAATTTTGAACACAGCCCACTTGGAAGCCAACGTGGAACTTAACCGATATCTTTCCCATGGTGGCCTCCCCCCATACCCTGGCAGCTGGAACCCAACATGAAAGCCAACATGGCACCCAACATGGACCCCCGGCGGTACCTTTCCCATGGTGACTTCCCCATACCCTGCAACTTGGAAACCAGCATGGGACCCAACATGGACCCCCACGGTACCTTTCCCATGGTGACCTCCCCGAAAGCTGGAAACCAACATGGAAGCCAACAAAACAAAACCCCGTTGTCCGTGCTCCATGAGCCGTCGCTTGCGGCAAGGCCTTGCATGTGTGGCTTTGGTTTGCAGCCGAGACCAACATGGAACCCAACAACCTTGTCTTGAAAGAATCTAATCATTCTTCCCCACCCATGTCTACATTTTATTGGCGGAAAGCCTGGCACCAACAAAAATAATTACTTTACTTCGTGTGATCCCCACCATGACATTTATATATTTTCTTACTGGCAAATCTTCTGGCATTCTATCTGACATATCTTCTGACATTCTATTTGGCATTCTATCTGGCATATCTTCTGGCATATGATCTGGCATATCTTCTGGCATTCTATCTGGCAAATCTTCTGGCCTTCTATCTGGCATATCTTCTGGCACTCTATCTGACATATCTTCTGGCATTCTATCTGGCATATCTTCTGGCATATATTCTGACATATCTTCTGGCATTCTATCTGACATATCTTCTGGCATATATTCTGACATATCTTCTGGCATATCTTCTGGCATATCTTCTGGCATATCTTCTGGCATATCTATCTGGCATATCTATCTGGCATATCTTCTGGCATATTTTCTGGCATTCTATCTGGCAAATCTTCTGGCATTCTATCTGGCATATCTTCTGGCATATTATCTGGCATTCTATCTGGCATATCTTCTGGCATATATTCTGACATATCTTCTGCATTCTATCTGGCATTCTATTTGGCATTCTATCTGGCATATCTTCTGGCATATCTTCTGACATTCTTTCTGACATTCTTTCTAACTTTCTTCTGCACATTCTTTGTCCCATATCTTCCTACATGAGGTCCGGCAGGGAACACTTGGCGTGGATACTCGCGGTTGAGGTCCGGCAGGGAACACTGGGCGTGGATGGTCGTGGTTGAGGTCCGGCAGGGAACACTGGGCGTGGATGGTCGTGGTTGAGGTCCGGCAGGGAACACTGGGCGTGGATGGTCGTGGTTGAGGTCCGGCAGGGAACACTGGGCGTGGATGGTCGTGGTTGAGGTCCGACAGAGAACACTGTGGATCGCGAGTCGCAATTGAGCAGGAGGACGAGGAGGACAACGAGAGGAGGAGGACAACGAGAGGAGGAGGAGGACGAGGAGGAGGAGGAGGAGGACGAGGAGGACCAGGCAACTGACATAAAATCTAACAACCCTCACCTGGCAGGTGGGGAAAAAACATCAAAAAGGAATCCCTCTCCCCCTGGGGTAGGATGGGGAAGCATATTTTGGAGCATGTTGCACCACTCAGCCCTAGTTTTTCTCAGGTCTAGCGGCATTTGGTGAATGTTTTCCCCCGCATGCTTGGGTTCAATCTGGATTGGTGTTTTGTTTGCATACCAGACTCCAGGAACCCGAAAACTAACTTGGAACCTGAATGGGCATTTCGTTGGAGGAAGTGAGCAGCAGAAAAAAACAAGTAAAAAAAATCCGGGATTTGAATGGATTTAGGGATCCTAGTTTTCCAAAATGTGCCATTTGGACGTTTTTGGGCTGAATCTGGACTGGTGGCAACATTTTGTCTCCCCATATGCTCCCCCTGGTCAGGCTCTCCTCCATCATCAAGCCGGTGTGTCCCCCGGGTGTGGTCGTCGAACCCACAACGGAAACCAACATGGAACCCAACGAGTTTAACTTTTGGGGGGATCAACTCCAGCAAATTCACCATAAAATTGTCACGTTTGTCTTTCTTTTGCTCCTTGTTGCTCTTTCCATCTCTTTCTTAGTTTGCTGATATTTGCTATCCTTTCATGTTGCTTGCTTTTTCTCTCTTCGCTGTCAGGTTTTCAGCCTGTTGCGGCTTACTTTGGAAAGTTGTGCGACGAACACGGAGCCCAACACGTATCCAAAAATAAGTCACGGCCTTTTCTTGGAGGTGTTTTGGTTTCAGTCCTTTCCCCACCACAGACCTGGGACCTGAATAGTTGTTAAAATGTGAGCGCAATACGAAGTGAAAAGTAGGGTCGCCCGAAAGTCACTAACATGGAATTTTCAAGGAAAACGCCTTAAGAACCACTTGGGTTCCAGGTTAACCTTCAAATCACCCTTCAAGGTTGCAGATCGCTTTGTGATAACTTGTTCAAATTCCATGTTGGCTGTTTCAGGGTGCAGTTTGGGTTCAGTTTGGGCCTGCATTGGGTTCCATGTCAGTTTTTGAATGATTTTATTGAAAAAATTAGTTGCATGATTTCCTGGGGAACAAAATCCACTTGAGACCGTACCATAAGTTCATTTTAGGAGACCTTAGGAATAGCATGCAGTTCCACGTTGGATTTCTGGGGTGTATTACTATTAATTATTACCATGATCATTGTTGCTATTGTTATTATTATGATTATAAATTATTTAATAATTATATATATATATATATATATTTACACACATTATTCACCTCGGAGTTGGGATTTTCCAGCTAGCCGTTGTAACAAACACCGGTTTCTCTGGTGGCCACGTAGGCGGACGGATCACTGAGTGCCCAGTGCGATGGTGCGGAATTTGAGAACCAGGACCTGCCGGGGGTTTCCATACGTGGGTCCACAATAGATGGATGGTTTCTAGATGTAGAAAAATATGGAAAATCCTAGATTGTTTGGGGGGGAGCCTCCATTTTTTGGAAAACTCCACATGTTGGGACTTGCGCGCTTTGTCTCAGATATGCAGAGATATTGGAAACTTCTTCATATCACCTGACGGTGCCATTTTTGAATGGACTGTTGATCAATTTTTGGATTACCCCCATTTATCAACCAGAAGATGTGTGTAAAATTTCAGGGATCCTACGTCGATACTATTCTCTTCACAGCCCAGGACAATGCCATCACCATTGAGAATGACCAGGGCTGCAGCTCGACCATGGATGACCATGGCGGGTCCGTCCTGGATAGGAAAAAAACGAGTGACACCATGTGATACCAGCGTATGAGTCTTACAGAAGCCTTCCAGTCTTTGTCCTTTCGATGCGATTATAGATATAGATATAGATAGAGATCTTGGCACGTAGATAGATAGACAGGTAGATAGGTAGATAGGTAGATAGGTAGATAGGTAGATAGGTAGATAGGTAGATAGGTAGATAGGTAAATAAATATAGATATAGATATAGATAGATATAGATAGATATAGATAGATATAGATAGATATAGATATAGATAGATATAGATAGATATAGATAGATATAGATAGATATAGATAGATATAGATAGATATAGATATAGATAGATATAGATAGATATAGATAGATATATAGATAGATATATAGATAGATATAGATATAGATATAGATATAGGTATAGGTATAGGTATAGATATAGATAAATATAGATAGATATAGATAGATGTAGATAGATATAGATAGATATAGATAGATCGATATAAATAGATATAGATATAGATAGATATAGGTAGATCGATAGATATAGATAGATATAGATATATATATATATAGATAGATTCAGATAGATTCAGATAGATTCAGATAGATTCAGATAGATTCAGATAGATTCAGATAGATTCAGATAGATTCAGATAGATTCAGATAGATTCAGATAGATTCAGATAGATTCAGATAGATTCAGATAGATTCAGATAGATAGATAGATAGATAGATAGGTAGATATAGGTAGATATAGATAGATATAGGTAGATATAGACAGATGGATATGCAGGATTTGTGGGAACTCAACAGCATGGACCTTGTAAGTGTGTGCATCGAACCATTGTCCGGCGGCAAAGGCGGCCTCAGCAACTATGACTACACCGTGAGGTATTGCCCAGACCAGGAGTCCACCATTGGATGTCCATGGTGCTGATTTGGCTGTATCAGTCTGGTGATTCTTGTCATAGTTTGTCATATACTATCGTTATCATCAATAAACCTATTTTATGATTGTTGGCTATCATCATTATCATACTATCATGAATTTTATTTATACCTTCACATTCATTACTATTGTTATCATGTTTTTTCATTGCTACCAATAGGATCATCAATTCTTTGATGGTGATCCCACCTCATTTGGGGTAGGAAAACCCTTGCGGCATGGACTGTCCACCTTTGGTAGTGGGGCCATATCTTGAGCACTGGTTCAATGTCTGGTTTTTCCAGCAGAGCTGGCCATATTCAATGACTTCTCCCTGCATGGCATGGGGATTATACAGATGATTACAGTACAGGTCATTTGATCTTTCTGGTCTTTGGTCCTTGGCTCACAGATTATTTGCGGTAAATATACGTAAATATACCATGTGGGCCATCAAAATTGCAGGACACGCTGATCGTGAACCTCGTGAAACCCTACAATGTGAGGATGGTTCTGAACAGCAAACCCTGCTCGGCCGGGGAGGTCTAAGATGGTCTAAGTTCAAACTGAAGGTATCGCAATGGTTTAGGCATCACAAGCTGGCGTAAACAAACCAAGCATCTGGGATATGATGTTTCGACCCCAGTGATATTTGGCATATGGCATATAAACCACTGCATAAGATTTACATAGATTTACAGATAAGTAACTGGTGTTGCTATCCACTTGATAACTGGGATGCACCCGAAATGTATGAAATGCTGGTTGATGCTGTCACTGCATATGTGGAAGGAAACCTTGGCTCCCACGGACTTTCCCGATTCGGGGAGCCGGTGCACGGAAATTTGTAAGTTAAAAATCTTAGCCCGTTGTAAATTCAAGAGATGGACCACCCTCCAAATCATGAAAGAACATATTGTTGTCAACTCATGCTGGATTGTTATGATTTTCTAGTCAACATGTCGAACATGGTAGGTTGACATAATATGATCTTCAAGCCAACACCGTATTTTTTTTTGGGTGTTCCATGCCAGATCTCATAGGGCTTGCGATTTTTGTTGCAAGAAGAAAGCCAACCATGCAATGACTTGGTGCTTTCCCACAACAGAACCGACCTCGAGCTGAAAATCTGGATGACCAGATGTCATCAGATGTCCCAACGGTTGATTGTCTGGGGGAAATCATGGGGAAACCATGGTATACCCAGCATTTTGATGCATTTTGCACACTCATTGGATGGATATGGCAGTCCAAACCAGCCCCGGTAGTTTCCGCAAAGATGAAGTGACACCACGGACACTTTTAGGGCAACCTGAGGAGATCATCAAAGACACAGAAGGCTCCAAGGCATTTTGAGCCTCAAGAGATAGTTGTGCCCCTGGGATTCCTCCGCTGATTTGTTGCTTTGAGTCTATGATGATGCGAGTCTTCTGCTTGGTGCTTCCGTTTCTGGACATGAAGATGGTGGTTCTGGAGGGTTATCAGTTCAAAATTCTCTTGGTTCTCAAGTTCATGTCATGTAATGCTAGTAAAGCATCAGTAAACCACCCTCATATTTACCATTAATGGGTGGAATTTTGATGGACCATCCGAATATGTGGGGGTTGATTTTTGCTTTACTCACACTACACCCTGCTTGGCTGGTGTTTCATCTTACCTATGATGAAATTGATCCCCAATGACTTTCACATGTTTTTCCAGGTGGCTCATCAATCAGCTGAGTTAGCTATATGTTAGCGATATATATATATAATATATAATATACACACATATGGTACCATATATCCCACATCCATGGATTTTACACACATTCAGATTTCATGTTAGGGTTTCACATGGTTTCAAGCCAAACTTGTTTGGACTTGGTTGGTTAATGACCTCCATTTCATGTTGCGTTCAGCAAAAAACAGGCACACCCACAGCAGTTTTGCTAGTTCGATAAATGGTTTGTTTGAATTTTGCGGGATTAAGACTGGTTAAACAGTTAAACACCATGATCTTTGCACATTTTTGCCATGATTGAAGCAGTTTTAATGGTTAAAACATGGTAAACCCAGCGATCTTTGGCCAGGTTCGCTGCTGCCAGTCCTGGCCTCCGCGGTGAAAGCGGTGGCAGCGTCTACGTGGACACGGTGCAGTGCAGCGGCTTGGGCGCGTTGCCCACGGAGCCGGCAGGGAGCCTCGGGGACTGGTGCTGTGAAGCAGTGAACTTATGGGATACCCCCTGGTTATTTGTTACATAGCCATGGTATACATGGCCCATTATAGATGGTTTACCTATTAATAATGGGATGCCATGGCCATTTGGTTATTTTTCATCCTTTTCATCCAATTCTCCAAGTATTTTCCATCCTTTCAAATGATTTATCCCCGTAAAATCACCTACTGTAGCCTCTGGTAAACTAACATAGCTCATAGCCATGGAAAATTGCCCATAGAAATAGATGGTTTGCCTATTAATAATGATGATTTTCTATGGCTACGAAAAAAATAACCAGAGGGTAAATATGAGATAACGGTGGGATGAATGTGGGGTTGCTATATGTTACTATGATCAAATATTAAATATGGATTAAATATGGGATAACGATGGGATGACAATGAGATTATCTATCGACATGATATGTGAACTTATGGGATTCCATGGGATACACAAGCATCCATTTGCGATTTATGAACCAGGCAGTATGGGGTTTGATGATGGGATATCATACTGGGACTTATGATCGCGCCTATCGAATCGAACTGAACCGAACCCTATCCTATCCTATCCTTGCTATCCAGTCCTGTCCTATCTATGTATATGCATATAGAATTATAATCATTCTAATTACAATATGATGGTGATATTACAATGGGATAAAACTAGTTTAATGATATGTGAATACCACATTGGGGTATACAGGAGGTGATTTATGGATCATATACACACAATAATTTGAAATTATTGTTGGGTTTAGTTTTATAGTATCATGATGAGATGCATATTATTTTATAGGGTTTCATGGATGTACCATTTTCATTACGTTGGAATTATGCTACGGGGCAGCGCGTCCGGGGGTTGGTGGGCATAGTGCCCCACAAAACAGGGATGAATTGAAGTAGCTACTAGGAGAATCAGGCAAGGGTGCCATGATCACAAATAATCTAGCCTTATATATAATATAATATGCATATATATATATATATCATTATATATATATCATTATATATATATATATCATTATATATATATATCTATATATATATATATCTATCTGCACATGTTTAATGGATTTTAGATTGAACGGGTATTTTAACTGAAGAGTGGTATTGCACTGCACTTCGACCCCAAACCTGGCAGTTGCAGCTGTAGCCGCTGACAGTTGGGGTCTCTGGGGTCTTGGTGCGAAGGTCTGCTTTAGCGGCAGCGTGTTGCTGGAAACCTTTGACATTGAGGTGGTCAGCTATGATGGCAACTTGGTCCAAAATGGTCCAAAATGGTCCAAAATTGGCCACAACGCTGCTGCTGTGGACGTCCCCTTGGGTTGAAGTGCCAAGGTAAGGTGGGCACCGTGAACCTCAAGGCGGCCAGACTGTTGTCAGGTGATGATGATGAAAAATTGACGCGCTGTTGTTCAACATCCAACGATAAACATATACATCGTTCAAAATGTGGGGGAAAGTATGGCATGATGTTCGGGTGCTGGGTAGACTTTGAATGATTCCTTCAGAGATGACCATACCTAGATATCACCTGATATCACCTGAAACTAGATCCAAACAGAACTTCTCCGAATGGCGAAGGCTGAAGGCTCGCAAAACGCCCAGTGCGACGGGGCACAGTTCGAGAACCAGGCGTGTGGACGACATGGGCGACATGGGCGACATCGGGCGATGCCTCAGCCCGTCAAAAAAATGGATTTGGACTCATGAAAATACCCAAGTGAATACCAGTAGACCCAGCCAAGGAGCTGATGCCCCCTTTGAACTTTTCAGTTGATCATGTTGTATCGAGGATAATGCCATCACCATTGAGAACGACAAGGGCTGCACCTTGACTCAGGGGAAACAGCAGAGGGGCCATGGAGGGCGTCGTTAGGCCCGATTCAGGGGATGTTCGTTTCATTTTTGGATTATGTTTAGTAATTATAGTAATAATTATAATAGTAATCCCAAAAATGATAATCTATAATTATCTATAGAATAATAATAGTAATAATAGTAATTATCTATAGATAATCCAAAAATGATTAGATAGATAATTATAGATAATTATAGATATTATAGTAATAATTCCCAAGGTTGACCAATACAAACTCAACCTAATGCGAGTGCAAAGCAAGGACACCGCATTCTACGGCATTTCTGTTGCTTTCTGTGGAGGAACAACGATCAAAATATGAGACTGAGGGATCGACAGCTTGGATCATTGATTGAATTTCCACATGTTCAATTAAATTGCACCAACATCTATCAACATCTATCAACTGATTTCGATTCATTATATTCTTGACAGTTGGTAACACCTACCAACCGTCAGGCCGGAACTCACTAACTCTCGGGGCCGCCCTTTCTTCGCCTTTGAGGTGGTCTCAGCAAGTACGACTACACGGTGAGGTACTGCCCAGATCAGGAGACTCGGATCAGGCCGTGCTGGTGCGGGTAGGTACCACTTTGGCACAGCTTAGCTATCAAAAATAGGGATAGAACCAGAAACTAGTGGGAGAACATTGGGTATACTTCGCAGGAAAGAACGATGTTATAATATTAGATTAGATTAGATTAACATAGAATAGAATAGAATAGAACAGATAGATAGATAGATAGATAGATAGATAGATAGATAGATGCGAAAAGTCCATCATTTGTAGATTATCTCTCTTTCTGGTCAAAAAACTTTTCTTCCACGTCTATGTTAATTTACTGGAGGGAAAGTTTGGTCAATTCTTGTCGGAACGACTGATGGGTCTGAATCGATAGAGTTGGCTGCAAATCGGACCTCTGGTGCAACCACAACCATCATTAACCATCCAAAATAGGCAGAATGAGAATGAACTACAACAAAATCCATCAGAATCCACATGAATCAACTCTGACTTCAACCAGCCACTAGGCACATCTGGGCACTGGGTCAAAGATTTCATTTGGATTCAGGATTGGTTCAGGTCATGAATTCCGCAGGAGTCACTAATCGTGAACCTGGTGAAGCCCTTCAACGTCAGGGTGGTGCTGGACAGCAAGTCCTGCACAGCCGGGGAGGTTTGAGACGGACAGGTAGCAGCTGTAGCAGCTGTAGCAGCTGGGGAAGGTAAAATGTCCTTCCTGTACACCATAGAATGCGCCCCTGAAAGTGAACATGGAAGCCTTGAACATGGCCAAGTGTGAAAGGAACATCATCGTCCAAGGATATCCAAAGCCAGTTTCTTGGTGTTTCTTCGGGGCTCCATGTGGAATCTTCGGGGTGTAAAAGCCTAATGCGCCTTAGCTGAATTCGTGGACTGGTTCCAACATGTTTCAACCGGTGCTCTGACGCCAAGTGCGGCTATGTTCCAGCAACTGAACTCCACAAGGACCTCAGTAGTTGACGAGCCAAATATTGTCGATGATTGGCAAGGTTTGTGCCTTTTGTTTCCTCAATATGTCTTCAAATCAGATGCATTTCCCACATGTTCTTTTTTGTTGTTTTCCAACGGGTCCCAATCAACTGCAACGATAGGCCCCTACCAGCTGTAGCTGGTGTCCCAGTTGCCATCAATAGTAAACAATGATGCCCTCTCACAGCAGACAGCCTGACTTGACCAGATGAATGTGGACAGTCGCTATTTGCCGCTGTTTGCCGCGAGCCGTGACGTTTTGAGGCAATGCCCTCTGCGTGGAAGGGTTCCGGTAGACTTGTGTGTCATGGTGTGCCCGTTGCGTTGTGGAGTTCTGTGTCGTGCAGATTGTGTCTTTGTCTTTGGCACTTTGTGTCAGCATGTGGACCCCACCCCACAACCTGACCCACACCAAATTATCGATTACCTGTTTGATGTATTGAGCCCCTTCTGATGGCCACCCATTTGATATTATATAGTATTATATGCAGTTCAGTAAATATATAATATTAAATAAACATGATATATGCATAGTATAATATAATATAGTTTAAGATAATATAATTTCATGTAATATAGTACAACATAATATAATATAATTCAATATAATCTAATAGGATATAATGAATATATAGATAGATACAACAATTAAATGACTAAATAAATAAATAAGTAAATAAATAAATAAATATGCACATGTATATATATATATACATATAACTATATAACACACACACACGCATACATATATATATATATATTTACACATACATATACATACACATACACATGCAATTGATACTGCAGCCAGCAGCTTTTGTCCCCCGATTTCGGCCAGAAAGACATGCTTTCCCCCTTACTTGAACTCACCCAATTCTTTTGGTTGTCTCCACTATGGTGTGTTCTTGGCTTGGCCAGATTCTGTAGAGCATAGGCACGCAGACAGACATATTGTTTGTCAAAGGTGGTCCTCATTCTGCTTCATTTTGCCGTGGTTTTTCCACTGCGGCAGAGGGGGCAGAACTGGCAAGAGGCCAGAACTTCAAAGTGGCAGCTGCAAGATTTGGTGTGGAAAATGGCCAACGCACCCCACAAAGTTTGTAGGGCCCCACCGATTCTGATGATGGCAAGTGCCCGTTTCAATTGTAGACACCAGTGAAATGGAGTTGGAACATTCAACATGTTGTGGCAAACCCGGCCAAGAGTGGTGTAGATCATGTCTTATCATTTTTTAGGTAAGCCGCATTTTTTCTCGCTTTCTCCATACCTCAGTATATCTATCGTTTGTTTTTTAAAGTTTACCTCGGGGCCACCACTGACTATGGATCCCAAATTTGGGATCATCTCCATTTGCTTCCCAGTGCACCTTAGCATCACCCCGTCTCGCTGTCACACCCACCGCGCCATGCTTCGTGGACTGCTCTCGGTGCTGCCGCACCATGGCTTGGCAAAACCTGCCATTTTTGGGGATGGTTTATACAAGCCATGGTGATTTCGGGGATGGGGTTGTTGGTCCTCTGTACTGAAGCATGAACAGAGAGGTTTGCGCAAAGAATTATGACGTAACCATCACATATGTCGGTAACGTGGATTCTTTGGGAAGTCTTGGTTAAGCGCATAAAAGCATTTCGACTATGCCTTTGAAAATTTCAACTGGATTAAAATCCCAATATGAGATCCAAGATTCTCCAACTCTTCTGCCGTTTTCCCATATTTCAACATATTTCAAGTGGAGAAATCCCCATGTTTTCTGATGGTAAAGTTTCCAGCTTCTCCCCACCCCCTTGGAACATCTTGGAACCCCAGGTTCCTTGCCTCCGGCGGAGCGCTGCGTGGCGACGGTGGAAGCGTCTACGTGGACACGGTGCAGTGCACGGGGAGCGGCACGTTGCCCACGGAGCCAGTGCTGTGGCGGATGGCACAATGGGGATGGGGATGGGGATGGGGGAAACCATGGAAATCTCAGGGAAATCCATGGATTCTATGGATTTCTATGGATTGCTGTTGGATTGCTGTTGGATTTCTGTTGGATTGCTGTTGGATTGCTGTTGGATTGCTGTTGGATTGATGTTGGATTCTAATGTTCTTTGGAACCTTTTCTAAATGTGCTGAAAAGGCCTTGAAGATCTTTGACAAAAACACTCGTTGTGAAAAATGCATGGCAGGTTTCGCCACGAAACGATCGTCCTCTTGAGCTTATTTGATGTTGATTCGAGTTAGCCCCTGGGTTTTATCATGATCATAAAATGGTTATTTTTCCATTGAATAGATCAACACAGTTGGTTACCAACTCTACTCAAGTTGTCAAGGTGGTTCTACATTACACTTGGATTCCAGTGTGTTATTTTAAGCATCGTCCAAGGTGTGCTTCAGCGGAAGCGTCTTGTTGGAGACCTTTGACATTGAGGTGGTGAGCTATGATGGCAACTCGCCAGCACTTCTCGGCTCTCGTAACAAGCGCCAGCATGGCCAGGAGATTCTACGTGCTGGTTTCAGGACGTTCAATATTAATGAATTTCTTTTCAATAATAAAATGCAAAAACCAACGCACATCTCTGTTCAAATCTGTGTGTCTATCTGTCTTGTCTTGTCCTGTCCTGTCCTGTCCATCGGTCTGTCTGCCTGCCTGCCTATATATCTATCTAAATCTAATTTAATCTAAACCTAAATCTAAACCTAAATCTAAACCTAAATCTAAGTTAATCTAAATCTAATCTAATCCAATCTAATCGTATCGTATCTTATCTGCCTATCTATCCATCCATCACCTAGCTGGGTTGGAGGGCTGCCATCTTCAAAATCATTGCCATCAACCTCCTTCCCGCCAGCACAGGCAAGGTTGGCACCGTAAACCTCAAGGCTTGGGCTGGCCTTGGGGATCTTCGGGGCAGGTCGATGGAAACCAGCATGAGAATTATGAATCATGAGATAAGCCAGCTATGGTTGGATGTTAGATGCCAAATTGTAGTAATTGCAGCACTCTGCGCGTCGATCATGCACAAACATGGTGAGGTCATGTCCAAGATATGAGACGATGTTTATTGCTACTTCATTGGTTCTGTGGCTCAAGGAAGGATGTAGCCCAATAACCCAGTTGACCTGAGGGGTTATTTAAACATGATTAAATCAATGGCAATGATAATCATGGATAATCACAGATTTCTCTCCAGTAATTCGTAACCTGGCTAGCTTATCCCATATATTACCAATAGCGAATCACTGTATATATATATATAGAACATATATATATATATATAGAACACACACACACATATATATATATATGTATAATTCCATTGATAATTTAATATAGCGTGTTGCTGTATTTTGCATATTACTTAACATCATATAGACACAGGTTCCCTTCAAGCGACATCTGTCATGTACCCGTGCAGGCGGAAGGATCTCAAAGTGCCCAGTGCGATGGTGCGCAGTTCGAGAACGAGGCGTTCAACGGGCACTGGATCCGTTTTTGAAACGGGGATATGCAAAATCCCATTCTTCGATAGAAAAACTATGGGAGAATAATCTTGAAATGGATTTTATAGATGGATATAGATGGGTGATGGGTGGAGTCTCCTTTGCCACTTACCGATGGTTTAGCTACCACAGGACACACACCATGCCCTGTAGATAGCTTCTTGGTGGGTATCCGTAGCCCCTTGAGGCCCAAACTATGCCTTGACCGGGTACGGGTCCAAGTTTTATGCTAAGCTTCCAAAACTCATCACCAATGTCGTACTCCTCCTTTCTTAACATGTTCTTCAATACTAAAACTAATCATCAACATGTCAAATTGTGGTAACCCAGAAAGCAGAAAAGTAAAACCCCACTAAACTAGTGAGGAATTGAAGATTTTCTTCATCTTTTTAGGGATGTCTTACTTAAGAAAATGCCTTCCTCTGCCTCAACGTGGAAGGACAATGCCATCACCATCGAGAACGACAAGGGCTGCAGCTCAGACGACCATGGCATTGGATGGGTGGGATATGGTGAAAACACGCACACACACACACATATATATTATATTATGTAATATATATATATATATACACATCTCCCTCCGTTTTTAAATGAACTTTGATGGCCAATCTCCCAATTACCATGGTATACCATGATATATTGACGCACTTTTTGCTAAGATGAGGGTCTTAGTGTTGGCTTTCAGAAAAATCAACGATTTTTTGATGGGTTGACTTAGTTTTGGTTCAAACCTTGGTGGCACATCCGCAGTGTCCAAGATCAGCGTTCTCGCTTCAGAAACGTCCATCCTAGCAGGCCAGGTTGCAGCCACGTTAGGCACCTGTTGGCAGAAATGCAGGTGATACAACACGATGCCGATTATGGGGGGCTTTACAAAATAGACCAACAATTCATCAACAAAATAGTTGGAGAAATTTTCCACTTGGGCAACCCTAAAGGTGTGTCGTTTCTGATGTGTGACGATCTACCATGGCCATCCCCCGGATGGCCATGGTGTCACGTTGTCGAGCCATGTCGAGCCCCTAAGGCGGCCTCAGCAAGTATGATTACACTGTGAGGTACTGCCCAGACCAGGAGACCAGTGTGATCTGATGGAGCAACGGTGCTGAACATCCCATTGAAACAGATTTTTTGTTAAACGGATAAAATACCTGCCCGGCCCGCACCGGGGCGGAAGTTTCGAAAGATTAAAACAACGATAGGAAGATGATGGCCTATAGGAAAGTTCTTGAGATGCAGAAGCAACGAACTGTAGCTGTGAGGTGCATCAACGAAGGAGCTAAATGGTGGTTGAGATGCCAATGAAATGACATGAAAGAATCCATGCACAACTGACCGAATGAACCAGTGAATCAATGAATGAGTGAATTCGTGAGTCGATGAATCAATGAATCAGTGAAACAATGAATAAATGAACGAACGAATGAAGGAAAGGAAAGGAAAGGGAATGAAATGAATGAAAGAAATGGATGCACGAATGAATGAATGAATGAATGAATGACTGAATGAATGAATGCACGGATGAATGAATGAATGAATGAACGGCTGAATGACTGAATGCACGAATAAATGAATGAATTAATTACCGAATAAATGAATGAATGAATAGATGAAACAATGAATCAGTGAATCAAGGAATCAATGAATGAGTGAATGAGTGAGTCGGTGAACCAATGAATCAATGATTCAGTGAATGAATGAAATTCAATGAATCAATGGATCGGTGAAACAACGAATCAACGAATCAAAGAAGCAGCGAATCAGCCAATGAACGGATCAATGAATCAGTGAATCAACGGGTCAATGGGCCAACGACTCAATGAATGAGTGAGTCAGTCAATGAATCAATGAATCAGTGAATCAGTGAATCAATGAACCAATGAATCAATGAATCAGTGAACCAGTGAATGAGGGAATGAACGAATGAATGGATGGATGGGTGGATGGATGACTGGGGGAATACTTTTCTTTGATTGTTGAGCTACTTCTTCACTGAGCGACCTCTTCGCTGAGGCACCTCTTCTCCCAGCTACTTCTTAGCAGCCACTTCTATGGGCTACTTCTGCTCTGAGCTGCCTCTTAGCTACCTTTTCTGTAGCTTTTGCAACTCAATTCTTCTCATCGCGCAGCCAGTACTCCGTTTTGCAACGTCCAGCTGCAATGCCGCAAAGCAAAAGACCAGGACAATGGTGAAAAACTACAACTCTGACAATTGGGACGATTCCGCGCTACTCCGAGAATGGCGTTTTAGCAAATTTTATGTGAACTCGAGCTCTCGCTACAGTGTGGTGCACATTTTGCCGACCTCGTCTTCCCAACAGTGCTCCATCCCCCTCAGTCTTTAACTTTTGCGATTTTGAGTTGCAAATCGAACTCTCGGTACAGTCCTGTGCACTTTTTTTCCGACAACTTTGGCAAATCGAGCCCCGGACCTGTGGAAACAGAGACTCTACTTCGGCGACCACGGAAGCCGGAAGCCACTTTACCCGAAAAAAACCCAGGGTTTCACGCCCGAGAGATCCCGAGGGTGTTTTCACCCGTGAATTCCCGTGTTCCCGAACTGTTACACTTCCCAACTACTTGATGATGGGTGGCTGACATGATGATGTGGTTGCCATGATGGTGGGACTGCTAACCGTGACAATCGTCCCTAACTTGGAAGTTTTCTAATTGAGTTTCCTTTGATGATAAAATCACGTTGGAGAAACATGAGAAGTTCGAGCAAGTTCTGAGTAGGAGATTTGTTCGCGAACAGCTGAGGCAAAAAACAGGTTCGTTTAGGGGGCCGCGAATCACCGCAGATAGAGTTTGCTTGGTTGCAGGACTCGTTGATTGTGAACCTTGTGAAGCCCTTCAACGTCAGGGTGGTGCTGACTAGCAAGCTGTGTCCAGCTGCTGGGGAAGTTTGAACGAAAACCAATGAAGTGAGTTCGGGCTGAATTCGTGGCAAAGATGAGCACAATAGGGGCCTGTTCCAATGTGAACTGCACCCAACAAAATGCATCGTGAAACACCTGCCTAAGTCATGTCAACGCCGATGAGGGACCCCCCCAATTGATTGCAGTAATATGATAATTTTTAGTTGAAATTATATACGTATATTTCATTTTGGCTTCCCTGCGAACAAAGTGATGATAATTTGCTGCATTTTCTAGTGCCCCATCTTGCATTCATGGTGCCAACTTGGCGCTGCAGCTGAGTGATTGTCAGGGTACGTCCAACAGATTCTGGTGGGACGTACCTGTATAATCCTGTATACATTCTATCCTCATTTTGAGAAGCATCACCAGGGCAATGTCCTTGATGTGTTCCATCCTGATGCAGGAGGCATCAAATCACGGCAATGGGCTGAGACGGAGAAAATATCCAGAGATGGGCGAGGAAGGGGCTTGGGAAGACGACGGAGTGGCACCCCTTGGTTTTGGAATTCCATGCGAGCCACATCAAGTGGCCACAGCGGACGCCCGACATCGCGATTTGCGCAGTGCATCTCAGCCTCAAATAGGTCTCTCGTGCCATCGTTTTCCAGTCGCTTCTATCAAAACAGCCATGGTTCGCGTGCTTTCCTTCGTGCTTCCGTGTCACGGCTGCTGGCAGATTGGGGTGGAAGGGGTATATATTGGGAAAAGGCGATGGTGCAACTATTGGGACGATAGACTTGAGACATGGACAAAACATGAGAAAACCATCAGGGGATGCCATGGAATTTGAAGGAAACCGCAAATTTTTGTCCAGATCAATCTCCCATTTGGCACTGGGAAACTCAGGCGATGTGGTCCCTACAGTTCTTAGATTTTGAGAATTTCTTTTCAAAATTTTGTGTTGACAGCTGCAGCCAGAGACCTCTTCAGACAATCTTTTGCAGACCGAGGTTCTTGGCCGCAGGCAGCCCAGCTCTGCGGGGTGATGGAAATGCCTACGTGGACAGCGTGCAGTGCACTGGAAGTGGCACCCTGCCAACCGAGCCGGTGGGGAGACCCGGAGGGCCTGGAAACATGTGGGAACCACCTGACATCACCGGACCATAGACGCCATGCCAAAATTGGAGTTGCCCAGACTATGGATTGACTTTGGGTTGTCAGTCACTGCAGTAATCATTAATATAATATATGAATATGCTCTTCAAACTTTTCAAGCTACTTTGTCCTGAGATGAGATTGAGGTGTGTTGTCTTTGGTGCCTTCCCTCCCTCTCCAGGTGTGCTTCAGTGGCAGCATCTTGATGGAGACCTTTGATATCCAGGTGGTCAGCTATGATGGTGGCCCAGCTGCATCATCACAGCACAGCCCTCCCGGGGCTGGGCCCAGCTGCATCATCTGAGGCAAAGTTGGAATTGTGAACTTGAAGGCCAGAGGATTGCAGGGGCATCTGTCACACACAGCTCCCCAGTACCAACCGTGGGTATCTTGTATCATGAAGGCAATGAAGGCATGGAATGCTGGCTCGGTTTACAGGATCTAGCCTCAACTGCAATGGTGCCAGGCTGAAGGGTCTCAAAGTGCAGAATGTGAGGGGGCGCAGTTTGAGAATCAGGTGCCAGCGATCACCAGCCTGGGGGGCTTTCCTTGGTTGTTTTTTTTTGTTGGGGCCAGGTGGCTCCAATCGATACTTGAAAGGCTAGCAATCTGGTGTTTGATAGGACCCTCCTTCCAATGGGTGAGCCCGCCATCCAGAAAAGGTACGGGCGGCCCATGTGATCTATGCCGAAATAACTGGTTAACACCCAATGACGCATGAGGTGGCTTGATGACTTTGCTGTTGATGTGAATCACAAGGGCTTCAGCCAAGGAAAGTGGTCATGTTTAGTGTTCAACCACCCAGTTTTTTTCCCGGTATATTATTCGCCCGCAGCCCCATATGTTATTTTTTTAGGATATTATCCCCAGTAATATCCTAGCTTCATTCCCAATTTTGATAGTTAAAACTTGAAACTTACAATGTGGTTGCGATGGCACAATTCCCCAATTTGGAGGCTGAATTGAATTCCGCATGTTACCAGCCAAATTGCGTTTAAATTCTGTCATTTTTGTAGGGTTCACTTACACATTTTAAAAATGTTTAAAGGTTGGTATAATTATACATAATTATAGTCAAGTAAATTCCTATGTCCGTGGTCCAATCCCAACATTTTGAATCATAGAGAAGTTCTCGATGTCAAGGGTGACCGACAGGACAACGCGATCACCATTGAGAATGACCAGGGATGCACCTTGCCGATGGCGTTTGTTGTCTGTGTGCCCATCGTTTCATGCCTAGCAAGGCCCCCAAAAAGTGGATAACAAGACACATGGAAAGCTGGCTGGATATTTGAGGACACATCGAGCCAACATTTGGGAAAGACTTTTCTATCTTTTTGCGGACGCCGGTATGAGTCATGAGCTCGCCTGAGGCGGTTTGGGCAAGTACGACTACACGGTGAGGTACTGCCCGGACCAGGAGACGTCAACGCCCCGTTCCCTCCAAAAGCCCTAAATTTGTCATTTGGGAGGTGCATATATCTACAAAAAGTGGTTGACCAGCGGATTTGCGACATCATTTCATACTTTTTCTGGTGGCAAACAGGGGCATTGCAGGCAGCAGCAATGGGATACAAGCCATGAATATGGGGACGAAAGCGAACTAGAATACAGAGGGGTATGCAACAACACGTAAGAACTGGTCCCAATCTTTTTGGCCAAGTTCTCGGAATTTCTGGTCCGAACATCGTGCTACCATTTTTTGCCAGAGAAACCGCATCCACCTGGCCTTCAAAATTGATCAAAATTGCAGGACTCGCTGATCGTAAACCTGGTGAAGCCCTTCAATGTCAGAATGGTCCTCAACAGCAAGTCATGCCCGGCTGCCGGGGAGGTCTGAGGCATTTTGAGATGTTCGGAGGCAGTGTGGGCTTTCCATGGCGCATTTGGGCCGGCTCAAACCTGGGGATTCTGGGGACGGAAAAACATGTTGAAACTGCATGAAACTGCTGGGTGATCTTAACTGATGTCCTCAATTGGAACATATTTGACTATTTGACAGGAAAAGGAACACATAACCTGGGGTGTCCGTCCAGGTTTGGGACATCCATTTGGCTGTGGCCAGTTTCACATGTTGCTCTTTTGGCCGTAACGTGGCCACGGCCAACAAGGTCGAGTGAGCTACCAAAAGGGGGTGGCCCATGGTTGGGAAAGTCCTCAACTCTTGGCACCAAAATAGATCCAATATATATATATATCCAATGTTTGGTACAAAAATATCTCGAACATTCTCGAACCATCACAAGGGAGTGTCTATTGACAGGTTCGGTCACTGGAGGTCTACCCTTTGCAGATAATTCAGGAAGCGTCACCTTACCTGTCTCCGTGGACATCACCATGGGACCGAAGTCAATGTCCTTCGGGTACTCCGGCGACCTGTGCCGGGGGTCGCTCGTGGCAAACTGCTAACGCTTGCCACGGCACGACCAGCACTGAATTCGGTGCCGAAAAACACCAGTGGCTGCTGCGACCTGCTACACTCCTTGGGTTGGGATGGTGAAAGATGCACAGTTTCCTGGTGTTTTCAACTTGATGGTGCCGTAGAACGTCGTGGAATTGTTTCAATGACTCAATTTTCCGCTGAACTCGCCGATCCAGATGACTCCCAATGTGTGTTGGATGGCTCAGCGGAGCCTCAATCCCCTAGTTCTCGTCCTCGTGCCTTCCTAGCGCCCGATCCCCCATCATGCTTCGTGCGCTTTTCTTGGTGCTGCCGCGGCGTGGCTTTATTTGGGCCTGGCCAAGTGGGGGATTCTACCTAAGCAGAATCTACAAATATGCGTTTGAGCCATCCAAAAAATGATGGCTCAACCAGTTCAACCCAATCATGATGGGGATGACTGGTGAGGAAGTAATTAATTGTGGCCATAATGCAGTAGCAAATGGGATAAGAGAGTTGCTTACTTACTAACTATGGAGCGTATGGAGACTAATGAGCTTAGTGATGTTTTTGTTTGGGATGGTCACCGATTTTCATTCCATGGGTGTTTGTGGTGCATGGCCACCCGATTTTCATCCTTGATCATTTCTTCAGATAAGCGTGGTTGGTGAACCCCACCGAACCCAGCTCATTGGTGGTGTCAAACATGCTTATTACTTTCCGATTTTCCGATGGATTTCCATAATTTTCCTATGATTCTCCAATGATCCCAGATATCCCAGCTGACTTTCAGAGTTTTGGCATCCAGGGTGACCAGCCACCACCAGGGGCTGCGCTCGGTCCACCAGGTTTCTGGCTGCCGGCAGCCCTCGCGCCCTCCGCGGCGACGGCGGCAGCGTCTACGTGGACACCATCTCGTGCACCGGGGACGGCACGTTGCCCATGGAACCAGCGCCGCGGATTCGTTGGGACGGAAGGATCTAAGTGAGTTTGGGTTTGATCATGTCCATTGTTCATCTCCAAAGTACATGCGCACAGATTATATATATATATATTATATTCTACATCATTAGGTTTCATTGCGTACACCTTGTCTCCGGATTCGGGGCCTGTTTCCGGGGTTGATGGATTGAAGCATCCACAATTGTGAACGCTGGGGCAGTTGCTACTGTAGCAGTGGTTCGATCACGCGTGAAATTCAGGTGACACTGCCCACATCTGCCCACCTGCAAAACACCCCCAATGAAATCAGGTCTGCTTCAGCGGCAGCATTTTGTTGGAGACCTTTGACATCGAGGTGGTGAGCTATGACGGCCACTGGTCAAAAATGGTGACCCCATGTCCATGGACCAATGGACCCTATCCTGAAGACTTGGCACCTTGACACCTGACGCGTTCGCTTGGACATCAAAACACGGCCGTTTGCTGAGGCAAGGTTGGCACAGTGAACCTCAAGGCCTGGATTGATGCAGTGGCTGGAAACTCAATGGCAAAACAATAATAACGCGCTACAATATACTACAATTATATACACATCAATAAACCAACATTTTTAGCGGGTATGGTTTATACTGCGCCATACTGGCGATGGTTTATTGATTTTATTTTGCCACATTCTTTGGCTTTAAACATTCAATCCAGGTGTGGATTTCAGCGTATTGTTCAACCCAAATTCTGCAAGTGGGCGGATTCAATCCGGGCCCATGGATCTGGTTCCCGAAGAAGGGCGCATTGATATCCAACCTGCTGGGGGTCTTGGTCTGGTGGATTTGAGTACCTGACCAAGATTTACCACTTAAAAATCTTAAAAGTCCAATAGAAAAACATGGCCAAAGACAATGAAATCACTGAGCAATCTCTGAGGTTGTTTATCATTTACCAGTTTTTCAATGGGGCAAACAAACCCATTTGTAGAAACTAAAAGATTTGCACATAAGTTTTTCACTTTTCTATCTTTCTAGGGGTGAACCTACCCTGCGAGGCCGAAGGCTCTCAGAACGCGCAATGCGATGGAGCGCAGTTTGAGAACCAGGAACCCGTCGGATCGGGGCGGCGACCGTAGCGGCTACGGGTGGTTGGGCCGAAAGCCATAAATAGGTACCCCTGGTCATCAAATCAGTGGGAAATCAGTTGGAAATCCACCATCAGTGGGCATTTGAATGGGAAAATGGTTTATCAATGGTTTTTTTTTGCCATGGGTGGTCACTGGAGGGTAATCCAACCATAAGGTGGACAAACCACAATTTTCCATACATCAGGGGGGGATGAACATCCAGAACTAGCAATCACCAGACTTTTTTGGGAGTGAACAGCAGGTACCTGGGTTTTGACACAGATGGGGTTCTGATAAGAGGATACGATGGCGGTGAGGAGTTGGAACTGCAATAGCTGCTATGCAGAGAGCTACTCAGACGAGAAATAGCGAGCATGTTCCACAGAAATGGACATCTAGCTGTTTAGCCCAGAGACATGGGGTCAAATATGGCCAAATCCAAAAAGTCCAGACATCCCCTTCTAAGGCCCATAAAGGTCAGCATTCCCCATGTGCCGGCTTGGACCACATCCCAGCAGCCATGGACATGGACAATCCTCCTGTATCTTAAACTACCCGCCGGTGTCATCAAACATGCCGGTGTCATCCATTATATAAATGGAGGCTTTAATGGGAAAATCAACTAGAAACGAGAGATTTTCCATGACAACGTTTGATGACCGGAGGGTAGTTTCCTAGATTTTGCCTCCAAATTGCCATCTTAAATTAGCGCACTGGAAGACACTAGAGCGGGCAGCGGAGCTGGAACCATCGCTCCAGGTGACAGACCTCAATGAGTTGCCCCCCTGTTTTTAACATAGCGAACTGGAAAATCACCATTTTTTTTCATAGGTAAAGCATCATAAATAGCTATTTTATGCTATTTTAAATAACGGGAGGGTAAAGCAGTGTCCACTCGGGCTTGGAAACCTGATTGGAATGTGATTTTTGGCGTGATTTTCTGTGTGCTTTTGTAGAGGCGATGGATGTTTACATCCACCTCTGGGATAATGTGGCAAGTTATTTGACATGGAACCCCACAGAAATGGGTTTCTGGAGAAATAATTGTGGGCCAGCCATAGATAGGTCTATGCCCTATAATAAACGTATCTGAATGTCATGGGCATATCAGCAATTAGTGACAAGAGCAACATCTACCAACAGTAGCAGAATAGGTCACCCCAAATCACCGTCTCCGCGAGGACAATGCCATCACCATTGAGAACGACAAGGGCTGCACCTCGCTGCAGAGGGCCATGAGGGCCATGGAGCCGAAGGGATTCAGACATCGACAGGGAGGAAAACATTTGGGAGGCACCTGATATATACATACATATATATATATATAATATATATAATATATATATATATATAGAAGTGTAACCTTATCTTTGGCAAAAACCATGATCTTTTGGATCTGAACAACCTTTGGTCGCCTGTCGGATTCCGGGTGCCTCTGACATCCACAAATCTCGGAAGGTTTCTGTGCTGAGGCGGCCTCACCAAGTATGACTACACCGTGAGGTACTGCCCAGACCAGGCGAGGGTGGGCGAAGATGTGACTGCCGTGGGTTCAGTTGTGGCTGGAACATTTGGAACTTCAAACTCAGCCAGAGATAAGTGGCCGCAAAACAGGCAAAAGTGTATGCAACAAATTATACAATATAATTTGACAGTTTGCGAACTGGAGAATCGCGACTTTCAATACGCAAATCATGCTAAATTATCTATAAATGGGCCATTTTCCCATAGCTATGTTAAATGACCGGAGGGCAATTATTGAAACAATACCTTTTTGTAGGAACCAATTTCGACCTTACTCCCCGGTGGAGTGTGTTGATACACTTGAGCCATTGGGTTTCCTGTGGGGTGCCTGAAAGGATGAGGCTTTCGGTACATTCCTGTGCCTTCAGGCTTCTCCTACCGAAACCTGCGTTGGCAAACTGAACATCCTAAGGTCCTAATCAAAGGCACCAGATTCATTGCAGGACTCGCTGATCGTGAACCTGGTGAAGCCCTTCAACGTCCGGGTGGTCCTGACCAGCAAGTTATGCCCAGCTGCTGGCGAAGTCTGAGGTCTGATCGGAGGCGCTGAATTCATCGCCCCAGTGTCCAGCAATGTCCAGGTTCAACATGGTTCCACCAGGGATGCAGTGGAATAGGTTGGATGGAGATGGCACCCCCAAAATTCCCATGGAATTCGTTTGGAACCTGGACTTCGCAAAGATGAGTTTCTGGCCAGAAACCTGGAAAGTTCCATGGAATCACTGTGTGAAAGGTGTAGCTTGGGGCATTAGCTCCAAAGGCCAGAAAGAGTGGACGTATCATAAAGAGCTGGGCGACTGGGGGGAAAACCAGCCGTTCCCTGCGGTTCCCTGCGACCGTTCAGCAAGGCAATGCCCTTGGTGGAGTTATTCTCAGCCTGACTCAATGGAGCAGGCCAAAAGTGCTGCTGGCTACCTGATTTTTGGGGAGTATCACTCCGAAAAACAGAAAATCGATCAATATAGCACACTGATAACAGCGATAATCTTAAGAGTGGCCCCAGAGATCCCAGAAATCCATAGAAATCCCCAACTTTTGATGGAAAAACCAGCCGCAGCAATTCGGTGCATACGACGCGCGGGCGCAGATTCGACATCGCCAAAAGGAGTCGCGGCGCTGATTGTGAGATGATTCTATTGAATCCACTGCGATTCACATTGGGATGCAGTACCTAGCAGTACTTTGTATAATCAAATTTGCCATTTCACTCGCGTTCATATATATTATATATATGATATGATTATACACTCACAATAAAATACAATACACACACATATATATATATATACAGCCAGTTGGAATAGAAATTTATAGAAATTTCCTACTCTCATTATCGGTAGCACGGAGTATGCGTGGATCATGTGACGTAACTACCCCCTCAGACAGCAGAACAGACAGGTTTCCAGATTAAGGCCTCCAGAATTCAACAATTGTCAGAATGGTCCATAGTGGTGATATAAAATCCAAATAAAACCACATTAAAAAACTCATCCCCCAAATCATTCCCATAAATGGATGGTTTATGATTGTTTTACCCACATATACCCACATTATAAACTTTTATAAACCACATAAAACCTATATAGGTTTCACCCTCCTTCGGATTTCCAGGCTGTCCCACTTAGCCACAGGCGTCCGTGGGCTCTACAGGGGGCTGATGCCCACCCTGCTAGGCATCCTGCCGCATGCGGGCACCAGCCCCTTGACGTGGGGAACGTCACTGGAATGATGGGAGATGGGAATCATCCCCATAGCTGCTACATAGCTGGCAGATGCTGGCGATTTTTTTCTCGGATTTTTCAGGTTAATCTTGAAGAATTAGTACAGTTCAGCCAGGAAATTCATTAAATGCCACTTGTAGATGAAGTTTGAGGCCATGTAGGCGACAAGATGAAAAAGATAGACGGAGGATCATTAAGGAACATGAAGAAATCAACGGCCGGTTACTTGGGTTACTCGGGAAGATGGGTTGAGGGCTCTGGACTTGAGAGATGGGATAGACATGGCCGTGTTTCCTCGTTAGATGCCGGGGTAAACTAGTAAACCTGAAGTGGTACACCTATGTAAGGGTGAGACATCAAATCTATATAATAATTAGGAGTTTGATTTTCGCCATGGCGAGCATCATCAATCTCAGAACATGATATGCCTGATATATCCTGATCTGCTTTTCTGAGATCTTCTGAAAGAGCACATGAGAGCACCATGGGCCACTCGCCCAGGTTTCTTGGTCTTCGAAACTTTGAAGCCCTGGACCCGGGATGCCTTGGGCTTGCGCTCTGAGCGTCGCCCGGCGATGATCATGGTACCGATAGCAACTGGTTAAGGGTCCTGGTTGCAACCCAGCGGTACTGAGAAAGCCATTCAAGGATTGTGAATTGGTAATATGATTTGATATTTCCATGTGGAGGAGAATTACCCTCTGGTAAACTAACAGTTTGCTATTGAACATGGCCATTTTTCATGGGAAAACTAATAAATACCCATTTTATCCATTTTCAATAGCTAGGTTAAATTATGTTAAATTACCAGAGGGTTCCAATATATCCCATGAACCAGCACATGATTATCTAGTTTATTTTCCCATAAAAAATGGTGATTTTCCAGTTCGCTATCGCCGCTATGTCACATAGGTGACCTCCCGATCTGGGCACGGCTCATGTGTGGCGGCATGGCTGGGCTGATGGCGCAAGGTGCCTCCTATCCGTTGCATGCGCCTGGATTTGATTGGCAGCGGAAGTTTTTGGCATCATTTACCCTCTGGTAAACTAACATAGCTATGGAAAATCACCATTTTTCATGGGAAAATCCACTATAAATGACCATTTTCAATAGCCATGTTAAATTACTAATTAAATTACCTCAAATTGTTGGATTGTTAATGGGTTAGAACCATGGATTGAACGAATCGTTTCTTTTTTGCCCGGTCAGATGGACTGTGAAGTCACAGTTGCACTGCCCCTCGCCATGAGTAAGATGATGCATGCCTGAAGAGTGCAGAAGATGCAGCTCATATATCACCCATGACCCCCATGGCATTACAGATGGATCACAGCCTTCACATCCCACGGATCGGAAAGTGGTGAAGAAGCCATCGGTAAGTCCCCATCCCATTGCTCCAACTGGCTGAATTCTGGGCCGTCCTAAGGTGGTTCGAAGACGGATGCAGGTGCAAGGTCGCGTGGTAGGTCAAAGCAAGCACCTCGCTTCGGCATGCCAATGCTACCATTGGTCAATGACCTATCCGACCTATCCACGAGTAGCAAACATAATTACACCTAATATATCCAAATATCCTCAAGCCATCTTGAAACATCTTGAAACAATCCGAACTGGTTCAAGATGTTTAACACACACGCACACACTCACACATATATACATAAATCAATACCATAAATACCATATTGTCCAAAATCGGTACCATTTTTTTCGCTTGAACTGCGCCGATCAATTTTTCAACATCACATCAACGGCTGGAGATGTCAATGTGCCAACATGAGAGACTCCAAAGGTTTGATCAAGACTAAGAAGAATGGGCGTTCCTCTGCTGGATGTTGGTTTCAAAGACTTGGATGCGTTCAGGGCAAAGGTAACTCTACTATCAATAAGATCAACAAGTCCATAGATTTGTGGTGTCTCCAACATTCCCCCAGACATTTTGCCAAGCATCCGCCATGAGGTATCACTCAGTGATGCATGCTTTGCTGACAATCCTTCGTAAGGAAGGTTTCGTGCTGCTCAGCAGAAGGAACAGAGGAAGAAGGAATTGTGAAGCCACAACGAGTGGTTTTGTCCAAAAATAGATTGCCCCAAAAGTATCATAGTTGATTCATAGATCATTTTTCTGATGAAACTTGTGATTTCGGATATGCCCACCTGCTGTGTCAGCTTTTGTTGATCACAAGAGTGTCCAAGACCATCAGACCAAAAACATGCACACACACACATTCATACTTTGTCCACTCAGCTGGCTGCAAACAGATCATTCTCAGAAGTGGATGAAGGGAAGATATTCAGGATCCCCCTCATACCTATTTTTACATTTTTTTCTCCCCCTTTTCAAGCGTGATTCATGCTTACAAAGGTGTAAACACATATAAAAACATAAGGTTTCCGCTTCATCCAACCCAAGGATTCATGGATTTTTGACATCCAAGGAAGGGACTCTACAAGGGCAGCTCGTTGACTTTGATCAAAGGTCCGGTCTCGGCTGCTTGTGGCTTCACGGCCAATGCTCCCTGGCCGGGATGATACCAATTGGGAAAGGAAGTTGATGAGGTTGTGCCCTGACATGAGCATCATTTGGGTTTAGTGCAGCAACCCAAGCAGCTCTCTTCCAATATCCTGTGACGGGTCAATTGGTTTTGACTGGTTTTGACTGGTTTTGAGGCCCAATGGCGCTTATAGCTGGGTAGGCGGGCTTGAACCACCCAACTCAACAAGAAGGCTCTGAACATATCTTAAATCTTTGTAGATCCCAGCAAAACCCAATCCTTCAGGGTGAAATGCCCAATCTCCATGATTTTCCAAGCAATGGATCGGTTCCCATGGCGCTTCTGAGGATTTTTTCAAGTCCATGCTGTTGGGCACTGCTGGCAACCCCGAGCGTTGTCCACCGGGCGGCTGGCCTGATGGATGCGAGGCATAGCTGGGATCGACGATGGAGAGTACCATCCAATGAATGATTGTATTTATATGTTTTTATGATATTTTATAATGGTGATCAACAATGGTGATTAACATTCTTAATGGATGATTAATGGAAATTAATAACAATCAATAACAATTAATAGTGTAACAATGGTGATTAATGTCCATTCATAATGGTGATTCATGGTATAATGGTTATTAACCGGATTAAATTGGTGATTAAAAATGGTGATTAATGGAAATACCATCCGGTGTCATCAAGCATGGCTGGCTTGGAAAATCATCGAACTATGTGGGGGGTATTCCGGCAAGCGATGGAGCTGATGACGGGAGGGTAGCCATCCTTGACTCATCCAGATGTAGGATATCCTTTGATCCATCAAAGTGCATTTGGAGGCAGATCGTGGCCTGTGCCTGATCATGGAAGCACATAAGCACTGAAGTCAGTAAGTCAGCATGTCGCCGACATGGCCACATCCAAGGTGTTTTTTTTCGTTCTCAATGTGAGGCACTGAAAATAACCTCAGCATACCTCAGCACTGCCGTGACCAGGTGGTACGGGATCCCAGCAAAGCCCTGAAAAAGCTCACGCCCATCGAGCATTTGATGACCGGGGGTGCAGCAGGCCACCTTGGGGCTTTTTCAGCGGCACCTCCCAGAGATGGCCTGGTGTATTTGTGGCAGATGTTTGGCGCATTTTTTCATGATGTGTTTATGATTGTTTATGCATGTATTCATATTTAATTATTTAAGCATATTTATGTATCAAGAGACATGTTTATTTTTTTAACTAGCAGGTGAATAATAGATATACGTAGTTACGTATATATAGATAAGTAGACTTTAGCAACTGCCGACATTACAGGTCAGCACCTCGTACGTTGACATCAATATCGTTTTTTTTTTAAATAAACCCGGGTGGAAAGCTCTTGGTTCGTACTCAACTAGCTAACACGAGATTCCTGGAGACTTCACATGGCACGTGTTCTCCCCGTAGAGGATTGATTCTGTTTGGGAAGATGCAGCCGAAAACTGCCGAGATCAGTTCACGCCTGGTACCCTCACATGAGATTCAGCTTTCATTTGTTGATGATTGCTTTCGATTTCCATGTTTACGGTGGCGGATGGTGGCTGGAAAAAGCAGTGTGTCATCTCTGAAGTCGCAGTTTTGCACTTTTTTCTTGTTTTCACGCTACAGGGTTCTTAACAACTCACAACGTGGAAATACATATTTCCCGTCATACCAAATTCAATCACATGTACATCTATAATCATTGTACTATATTTATATAGTACGGTAATCTAATTTTGATAAGTTGCAAGCTTATTAATTGACTACATACAAGTAACAGCTATCAACCTCGAAGTGTAGCTTCCATAGATTTTGTAGCACGCATAGATTGTGTAGCACGTCACCTCTCAGTTGATCAGGCGCAGTTGCTAAGACGGTGATCGCGCCGGCCGACCGGGTGAAGTGCCCCGGATAGAGCCAGGATATCAAATCATTGGTTCTTCATCATCATCATCATCATCATCATCACCACCAGCATCAGCATCATCATCATCATCATCATCATCATCTTCATCATCATCATCATCATCACCACCAGCATCAGCATCATCATCATCATCATCATCATCATCATCATCATCATCATCATCATCATCATCATCATCATCCTCCAAAAATCTGAAGAAACTATGCTTAAGTAGGGTGATACATCCTTCGATAGGTGGGAACGCCCAATATGATATGCTTAGAATCTTTCCAGCTAAACCATTTTGGAATGCAGTGCGTGCACACAAAAGAAAACCTAGAAGAACAGACCCGAAGAAAGTAGAACACACAGGGAATCTAGTCGGACATTGAAGGCTGTCATTTGAGTGCTTGGGGTTACCTCCTGTGCTCACCAGTGAATGTGACTCCTCAACGGGGAGGGAATGTCTACGGTGAATATTGGACATCCACCCATCCGCAAAGAGGCCAGCAACAGGTAATAATTTGAGTCCACCTGAAGCACTGCTTCTTGAGTGGGGCATGAGGTCACTTACAATTGCTATGAACCCATCCGGATGAGTGCAGTTTCCCATACGTATGCCACTCATGCATTGTATATGTCCTTTACGGTCCTATACGTTCCCACTATATGCTACTATTGCCCATGTTTGTTTTTGGGCAAGTGTAGATAAGATTCCAATGCCTATACTCATACCCGGACGATGTGGGCTTCAGCCCGAGGATCCTCTACCAAACCAACAACGAAAGGCCCTTTTGTTGGCGTGGAGCGTCTTGGCTTCTGGATTTGTCCGGCCTTTTTTGGGGAGGACTATTGACTATTGGGGAACAAATCGTGGCCAGAATATGTCAGAATCAGAGGGTGAACCGTGGAAAAGTTTGGCGGTTGGAATTGCTAGGCCATTCCTGACGGAGAAGCTGTGCTGAAGAAATCCTGCACTTTCCTCCTTGGGCATGTGCAGCTGTATAGATTTGGATGAAGGGATATAGAAGGTAAACATTAGGTGAAGCACTAGTCAATCATTTTTGATGATTCATGCTTTGGCACGCAAAGAGGAATGATGAGGAATGTCATATCCCGCTGAAAACTTGTCTTCTTTGCAGTGTCCAAAGGTGAATTAATTAGCCGAATCAGTGGCAACGCGTATTCCTGTAATGTTGCAATGTGTCTATTCCAAGACCAACCTGTTCAACCTGTTGATGTTTCCATAGACCCTGGCCGTGATCAGGTGCGAAGAACGTTCCTTGGATGGCAACGGATCTCTGGGTCTCCACTTGTCCTTTTTGGATGGTTCTGTACAGGGGTCGCCCAAAAAGATAGAAAGACAAGTATTTCCATGGTGATATAGAGGATGCTTTCCCCCTTACCAGCTGTGCCACCTTTCCATCTATTTTGGGGGTTGCTATACTTGTTTCATGGGGCCGTTGGTCCCAACTCCACCTGGTCCCAGGTTCATGACCATCTACAAAAATACGGGTGTCACGGGACTTTGGCGCGGACATTGTGCGACTGGGCATGGGAACTATCATGGGAGAGCGGCACTACGCCTTTTGAGATACTGTAGGTTGATGCTACTGGGGGACTGGAATGGCTTTCAGGGAACATTTGCAGGTCACTTCAAGTCACTTCCTGTAAATTCCATCAAACATGAATGGTCAATCAATGGTTTCCTGTAGCTTTTCACTGGCAGCAAAGATTAACACTAGTGAGTGAGCTGAGTCACCCGGATTTGCTGAAGGAGACTTTGTAGATTCCCAGCTGTTGGTGGTTCTATCATGTGGTTGGTGGTTCCATTCCCCCTTGCAAAGAAACCATAGGTGTTGGGGGATCATCATGCCAGATAGGGATGTGAAAAAGACGATTTTCGAAACCGCGTGTCGGTTCGAAGTGACCGTTTTGGGGCTGTTCAGTGAGAATTTTTTCCCGAGAGCGTCTGAGCGCAGGGTTCTTCCAATAGTGGGGGTCTGTAAAACATCTTCTCATCTTCACATCTTCTCTCACATCTGCTCATCTTCACATCTTCTCTCACATCTTCTCTCACATCTGCTCATCTTCACATCTGCTCATCTTCACATCTGCTCCTCTCTCACATCTGCTCATCTTCACATCTTCTCTCACATCTTCTCTCACATCTGCTCATCTTCACATCTGCTCATCTCCACATCTTCTCTCACATCTGCTCATCTTCACATCTGCTCATCTTCACATCTGCTCATCTTCACATCTTCTCTCACATCTGCTCATCTTCACATCTGCTCATCTTCACATCTGCTCATCTTCACACCTTCTCTCACATCTTCTCATCTTCACACCTTCTCTCACATCTTCTCATCTTCACATCTGCTCATCTTCACATCTTCTCTCACATCTCTCTCACATCTTCTCTCACATCTGCTCATCTTCACATCTTCTCTCACATCTTCTCTCACATCTGCTCATCTTCACATCTTCTCTCACATCTTCTCTCATCTGCTCATCTTCACATCTTCTCTCCTTTCTCTCTCCCTTTTCTCTCTCTCGCCTTCTTTATCTTTCTCTCTTAAGGCCGAGGGTGGTGCCGGCGGCGAGTCACGAAACGTCAACCCTTTCGCACGAAATGAGGGTCGATCGGCAAAAACTGAGGAAAAATTGCGATTTTACTTGTCCTGGAGCAACCCTTTCGCACGAAATGAGGGTCGATCGTCAAAAACTGAGGAAAAATTGCGATTTTACTTGTCCCGGAGCAACCCTTTCGCACGAAATGAGGGTCGATCGTCAAAAACTGAGGAAAAATTGCGATTTTACTTGTGCTAAAGCAACCCTTTCGCACGAAATGAGGGTCGATCGGCTCAAAAACTGAGGAAAAATTGCGATTTTACTTGTCCCGGAGCAACCCTTTCGCACGAAATGAGGGTCGATCGTCAAAAACTGAGGAAAAATTGCGATTTTACTTGTGCCGGAGCAACCCTTTCGCACGAAATGAGGGTCGATCGTCAAAAACTGAGGAAAAATTGCGATTTTACTTGTCCCCGAGCAACCCTTTCGCACGAAATGAGGGTCGATCGTCAAAAACTGAGGAAAAATTGCGATTTTACTTGTCCGGAGCAACCCTTTCGCACGAAATGAGGGTCGATCGTCAAAAACTGAGGAAAAATTGCGATTTTTCCTGTGCCGGACTTGTCTGTGTGTAAAAGCGTCTGTGTGTAAAAGCGTCTGTGTGTAAAAGACTGTGTGTGCAAAAGCGTTTGTGTGCAAAAGCGTGTGTGTGTAAAAGCGTCTGTGTGTAAAAGTTTCTGTGCGTAAAAGCCTCTGTGTGTAAAAGCGTCTGTGTGTAAAAGCGTCTGTGTGCAAGAGCAACTGTGTGTAAAAGTCTCTGTGTGTAAAAGCGTCTGTGTGTAAAAGCGTCTGTGTGTAAAAGCGTCTGTGTGTAAAAGCTTCTGTGTGTAAAAGCCTCTGTGTGTAAACGGGTCTGTGTGTCAAAGCGTCTGTGTGTAAAAGCGTCTGTGTGTAAAAGCGTCCGTGTGTAAAAGCGCTTGTGTGTAAAAGCGTCTGTGTGTAAAAGTCTCTGTGTGTAAAAGCGTCTGTGTGTAAAAGTGCCTGTGTGTAAAAAGCGTCTGTGTGTAAAAGCGTCTGTGTGTAAAAGCGTCTGTGTGTAAAAGCGTCTGTGTGTAAAAGCTCTGTGTGTAAAAGCGTCTGTGTGTAAAAGCGTCTGTGTATGTAAAAGTCTCTGTGTGTAAAAGTGTTTGGGTGTAAAAGTCTCTGTATGCAAAATCGTCTGTGTGTAAAAGCGTCTGTGTGTAAAAGTCTCTGTGTGCAAAAGCGTCTGTCTGTAAAAAGTTCTGTGTATGAAAAACTTTACAAAAATACGATGCAAACTATTGTCTTGTACTAGTCATATATTGTCTTGATACTACTCTTCTCGTCTGCCTATAATACATCTTTATCATATTATCTTGTAATATAGTGTCTCCATACTAACAACAGAAGACTCTGCTCCTCTACGCTCTCGGGCCATCCGTCGTCTAGTTAATGAAAATTTGAGGCTTCAGTGGTTCAGTGACTTCGAACGGAAGGGCCTCATGTCGTGAAGCAAGGCCACTTTGATGCAGATCATCCCTAAGTCGGCGACGACTTACACCACCTTTGACAGGCGACCGGCTACGATGGGTTTGGGCCGGACGGCCAAATCACCAGCAGAAAGGGAACGGTGTATCATCAGCATGTGTGGTTTTTGATGGTTTTTGGCTTAATTCTGCCTCACCTATGTTTGCTTATGTGCAATTAACATCAATTAACATCAATTATGTTTTGGTGAAGATGTTTTACTGTAATTGGATTCGTGGATTTTCACCAATTTTTGGGATCCCACCAGCAGCGCAGGTATCGCCATTGGATAACGGTCAGCACTGTTGGGGGGCTCAGGTTGTTGTTCGTTAACGCCCCAGGTTCGGTACGTTTCCACATGTTGCTACGTTTCTTTTATATCCTTGTTATATTATAATATCCCCATGGTTCGTATAAAAATTCCATTATCATTCCATGATGAACCCAATATATTATCCCATGAAACATCATTTATCGCCACTAGTTCCATCATTTTTTCAATATGATTCCATCACTCTTCCCATTCATTTATCTCTAATCCCATTCTATCCTCCCATTCCCACTCAATCCCATTAGATCCCAGCAAATCCATCCATTTTTCAATTATCTCCAAAAACGTCTCTTCAAAACCACAAAATTGGTATTAGCCATAAATGGGCAGATTTTTCTTTTCATGGTTTTGTTCGGGTTTTATCCAGCTGTTACCCTCTGGTAAACTAACATAGCTATTGAAAATGGTGATTTATAGTGGATTTCCCCATTAAAAATGGAGATTTTCCATAGTTATGTTAGTTTACCAGAGGGTATCCATAGCCATCCCATCTGCCCATCCCATCCGACCCAGACCTTGGACAATGTCTCCATTCGCTTCCTGGCGGGCGCCTCTGCGGGCGCCACGGCCTGCGGCCTGACCTATCCGTCACTTGAAAAAACGCCTCCGGATGTTTGTGAATGTTTGGAAGATTCTGATGCTACTATAATATACATATATATATAGATATACGTAATTATAATTTATATTTTTTATATAGATATATATCTGATATCTTATATATTTTAATATATATAGATGTTGGAGCAGAACTGGGGGTTGAACATGGTTGAAGGAATTAAAAGCGAAGACAATTTCTAGCCGTGACATCAAGGACTTGGGTACAGAATCTTAAGTAAAAAATCTCGGTGGCGCCGCGACTGCGAGGCTCGACATGATGAGAGCTCGGATGGCGGCGCACTGGGATATGACCGGCAGAGGGGTTTCGATGGTTTAGGGTCGCAGAAGTCTTTGATTCATTGCAAAGTGATGGTGAATATGGTGATTTTCCATGATTTTCCTATCCAACATCTAATTTTGCATTGCCTTTTTTGATTAGAGGAGGGTACCAGTAAGCCGTAAACGAAATCGTGGGAGCCCCAAGAAATTGGGAGTCTAGAAAAATCTAGAAAATTGGCTTTCCTGTTGAAAGATGCCTCTTTGGATTGCACCCTGCACGTGAACGCAGGACGCCCAGATATCCAAACTACTTCGCGGCCTTTGAAAGAGTCCTCAAGGATCGATCGTGGACATCAGGGATGATATGGGTACGTCCAGTCATCTTATCAGTTGTCAAGTAGGCGTCCAAAACTATGTTTTTTTTTCCAATTTTTACTGGACCCAACCACGGATCCAGTACCACAGAGTTGTCACGGGCTTGCTTTGAGGATCATCCATTTTTGGCACCATGTCGGAGCCACCTGGGGAGACAAGAACCACTGCTGTTTGCTGCCCTGCCTCCCTGACCCACCCCTTCCTGAGGAGGAAGGAATCTCATCCCTGTACAAGGGCATTCGGCCTACTTTGCTGGGCATCATGCCATATGTCACTTGGCTTACACGGTTTTGATGGTCTTCACCGCTGGCCAGCAGAATGGAGAATCACATTTTCTAGATTTCGGGCAAAACTGTTGAGACACATGAGACATTTCTTCTGCACTGAGTCAATTTCCAATGAGCTTCGGTGGGGCTGGTATTGCAAAGGGCTTTGACATAGGGGTGGTTGCGAAGCAGGAAAACTAGCACTGGTAAGTGCTTGCACTTGTTCAAACTGTTCAAACGTTCCTTTTTTGTGGTCAACTTCCCAAACTTCCCATTTCGGCAGCCAAAACAACTGGCAGTTTTTTAGGGAAAACACGTGGAGCCTTGGGGCCGGACCTGATCCCAGTGGGTCCCAGTGGGTCCCGGTTTCGGTCCCGGTGCAGGCGGGGCTGAGCTTCATGGCCTATGAGACCTTGAAGGCTCAGATCGCAGAGGATGGAGACCTTGGAGTTCATCAAAGGTTGCGCCTTGGCAACTGGAAATGGGCATAGCCGGCATAGCTCAAAAAGCCATGGAAAAACACATGAAAAACACCGGGTGGTTGGCAGATGTTGGCAGTTGAGGTTGGCTTACCATAGAGATTTGATCATTGTTACCATGTTACCATGGTCGTTAACAAAAAATAGCCCTGCGTTGTTCATAAGTTTCATAAATTTCAGGAGAAACATCCATTTGCCAGCGATTCTGCTTTGAAAACAGAAGGGTTTTACCGGGGTTTTGACCCAGAACCGCCCCAATACCAAGCACTTTGTGGTTGCACATCATTTTGATGAAGAAAAGTGTGCCATCCCATGTGCAACGCGGGATGCTCGTCCCATGTAAGGGAGTGGTCAATGAGAATCCGAATGGCTTTGTCTCAAAAGGATTGAGCATGAGGTCATTATAGCATGGATTTATCACCTTAAAGAGGCGGCAAAAAAACATATCAAAATGTCAATCTGAATGGGGATAATCTTAATATACCACAATCATCCATCAGAATTGGGGATGCCGGGATGCCCACGTGCTACTTGGGATACCCCGAGCCTGTGCATCCCATGAAAACTTAGGCTCTGTGGTGCCTGCGCCGGCATCTTTGCTCAGTCGACCACCTATCCCTTGGACATCATCCGCAGAAGGATGCAGGCGATGGGATGGCTGGGATGTCTTGATCAAGACATGTGCCCTTTGGTAAAATAACATGGCTGTGGAAAATCACCAAATCAGCAGTTTATCACCAGTTTAGTAGGTAACATCATCTATACATGGCTCATTTTCCATAGCTATGTTGCTTTGCTGGAGGGTATCTCATAGGTCAGCTTCTGGTTCAGCTTCGACTTGGCTGACCTACCATTTCGATGGACGTTTAATTTAAGCCTTGCGGGTGAACACTTCTTTTGATCTATATGGTGTGGAGGTCTGACATGTCGAAATCTCGGGGGGCTGAAGATTAGGTGTTTGAGGATTTCTAGGGAGAACGTATTGAATTAAACATGAGAAAAAACATTCAGCAGAGGTTGTCAGAGCCACAATGTCAGCCGATATTATCATCCAGCACTCCTAGCTAGAACTTGTTGAAGGAAGATTCTGCAGGAAGCCCCATGGTTTCCTGTATATTCTCCCACCAATGCGTTGAAGCTGGAAGACTTCTTGTTCACCTTGAAAATGCCTTGTCAAACTCCGCAGTTGGCTCATTGAAGTACGGGGCTGTGCGCACACACACAGACACACGTATATATATATATACATTACTATATCATATTATCATTGTCTATTCTATTATGTGCCGCTGGATTGTATTCTATTCTTCTCCATTATATTTTTGAATTTAATTTCCATGAAATGCAAACACATGTGCATGTATACAAATGGATGCATCACGCGCACACACAGGCATATGTATACATGTAAGAGATGCAATTAAATCAACCAACAACAAAGTAACACACCCAATAAGTGCATATTGCATATATAATATGCATATATAACTATTTTATATATATATATATACTCCTGGATGCACCAATTCTTTTCGTGACCATATCATAGAATATCTATGTTTCCATGGAATCCAGGGTCCGCCCCGCTATGTTCCGGGGCCGTTGGAATGTCGACCTACAGCGGTGGCTATGGTGCTCCATCCGATGCTGTTCTCGACGTCGAGTCTGGCATAATGAATCTGCAGGTCCTTGGGAATTGGGGTACCCAAAGTTGAAGTGTTCCTTTTTGGCGACCCCACAAGAAGATAGGCATGTAAATCAGGCATGTAAATCAGCATAAAAATGGAAGGTGGCCACTTTTCGGTCTAGTGACTTGGGGACCCTTGTAGGCCTGGCATAGAACTTATACACGCTCGGCGCCTGGATCTGAGGTAGCTAAACATCCCCTGACAGGTGCTCTGCTTGAGCGGTGAAGCTTTGACACTCAACATCCCCTGCACCCTTCTGGGCTGGGAGGTGCACCAGATGGTCGTGGAGAAGCTTCAGCCAGCACCAGGGACAAGGCTGGTCCTCCATGGTACTTCCGAGTTGAAGATGAAACAAAGTTTGAAGGAGCAGGGAATGGAGAAGGAAGCCACCTTGTCCTGCACCTTTTGCAGAACCAATTTATATGTTGCCTGGTCTTGTGCCAAAAGTGGAAACAATGAGGACGAATTTGGTCTGGAAGGGGTAACCGAGCTGCAAGGCCTCAGCAACGTCAACAAGGTGCCTGAAGGTCTGAAGATTCTGCAGTGTTCGGATGGGTTCAACCAGAGCCTTCTGAATGCCATGTTGCCCAGCAGCCTTCAAAGCTTGACATTTGGGTTTGCCTTCAATCAGAGCCTGAAGGGGGTGACCCTGCCATGCCGTCTTCAACAGTTGACCTTTGGAAAGTCCTTCAACCGGGGCTTACATGGCGTCACATGGCCAAGCAGTCTTCAAGAGTTGACCCTTGGCGCTTCTTTTAACCAGAACGTTGAGGGGTTGACTTTACCAGATGGTCTTCAGAGCTTGACGTTTGGTTACCATTTCAACCAGAGTTTGCAGGGCATGACTTTGCCAAGCAGCCTTACAGATCTGACTTTTGGGCACATGTTTAATCATGGGCTCGACCGGGTCTCCTTACCCAGCAATCTTCAAAAGTTGACATTTGGATACCGTTTCAACCAGGGGTTGGAGAGGGTCTGCTTCCCCAGCAACCTTCGAGAATTGACGTTTGGCTATAGCTTCAACCAGAGTCTGGAAGCCGTCACCTTGCCGAGTAGTCTTCAATGTTTGACCTTTGGTGGCATGTTCAAGCAAAGCCTGAGACGGTTGACGCTGTCAAGCTGTCTCAAAAGCTTGACTTTTTCTCGCAGTCATTTGCTGAGTCTCTATCTGGTGACTTTACCAAGCAGTCTCGAAGAGTTGTCATTTGAAGGTTGCTTCAATCAGGACCACTGTCTTGAGGGCATTAGCCTGCCAAGCAGAGTTCAGAAGCTGACTTTGGGTGTTGATTTCAACCTGAATCTGAATGATGTGATTTGGCCAGGCCGCCTACAACACTTGAGTCTGGGCTACTCGTTCGACCAAAGCTTGGAAGGGGTGGCCCTGCCATCCAATCTTCGAACGTTAACTTTTGGTTTCGTGTTCAACCAGAGCATGAAGGGTGTAATATTGCCGAGCAGTTTGCAAGAGCTGATCTTCGGCGACTCTTTCAACCAGAGCCTGGAGGGCGTGGTCTTGCCCTGCAGTCTTCTAAGCTTAAAGTTTGGCTATTACTTTAACCAGAGCCTGACAGGGGTAACGTTGCCTTGCAATCTTCAAAATTTGTCCTTTGGTGCTGATTTTAACCAAAGCCCGGAGAATTTGCCAAGCACCCTTCAAGAGTTAACTTTCGGGACTGACTTCAACCAGAGGCTGGATAGCATACCGTTGCCGAAAGGACTTCAAACCTTGAGTTTTGGCTATGCGTTCGACCAAAGCTTGGAAGGGGTGGCCCTGCCATCCAATCTTGGAAAGTTAACTTTTGGTTTCGTGTTCAACCAGAGCATGAAGGGTGTAGTATTGCCGAGCAGCTTGCAAGAGCTGATCTTCGGCGACTCTTTCAACCAGAGCCTGGAGGGCGTGGTCTTGCCCTGCAGTCTTCAAACATTGACTTTTGGCGTTGATTTCGCGCAGAGCCTGCAGAATGTGATGTTGCCAAACAACTTGCAAAGCTTGACGCTTAGTCCCTTGTTCAGCCAGAAACTGGAAGATGTTGTCTTGCCAAGCAGTCTGCGCACTTTAGCCATGCAGAGCCTCTTGGTGAGCTGCCGCTGATTGCCGGAAAAATGAAACGGCGCCAGTTTGAAACGGGTCGGTATGGGTCAAATATGTGTTTCATACATGGACTATTGATTCAAACTGTCTTTGCCGTTTGACCCCACTCTACCAAAATCTTCAGCAACAGTCAAAGGGCTATTTCCACTTGCCGGTCTCAACTTTATCCACGATGGACTTTTTGCGAGTTTAGCTTCCCATGCTTTGCTTTGGTGGGGGCTCAGCCACTTTTTGCCAGGAAGAGATGTGCATTGAAATCCAGCGAGCACGAAAAAAGCTTGAACAGTGGACACAGTAGATTGTTGGGGTCCACCAAAAAGAAAGGCGATTTCATATCCCATACCAAGAATAGCCTTTTTTGAAAAAAGTGGACTCGACGGCCATAGATTAGATGAGTGGCAAGGGCTGTTCACCATTGCTCCGTGAGATGATTTGACCCACCTGCAGAGACGCAAAGACGCAGAACTCAACATTTCAAGGGCTCATTTCTTCTCCCTGGTCCCAGTGAACAGACACCTCCCTATAGATCCCTATAGAAACCCTATAGAATGGTGTGTAGTCATTTTGGGTCCCCGACTTATGAAGGGGTCTCTTTTCTTTTAGGTGGGGTCCCCCGGTGGGGTTGGTTGGATATGGGCTTCCAGCCTCAAAATGTCAGCTGGTGGCCTCCAAACACTGCAGGTGCATCCTGGGCTGTACCGCAACGAACTGCATGCGATGAGTCGCTTGGTGAAACTTTTTTTGCCGCCTGAAATGGTTGAGTAATGACGATCCAAACATATAATCAACTATACTTCAAATATAATGATAGATCAGCGATATTATATATCAAATGATATATTATATGATTATCAGAAACATATAATATCATATAATCATATGTCAAATGGTTTCTCAGGGGCCCCCAATTCAAATGCTTTTGAGTCGCCCAAGATGCCGGGAGACCCTGTCCCTTGGCGTTTCCCTCTCCAGATGGAGGGATTAAGCCATTAAGCCCAATTTTAAACCGACTCTTTGGATAGTTTTTGTGGACCATATCAAGAACAAACATTTGTGAACGGACTAGGGTTCAGTGTAGATTGTTCTTTATCATTAGGCCCATCTATACTGTACTATATGATTATCATATGTATGCACATAAATATATCACATATACTATATATACAGACGTGCACATCACACCTAATGCAGATACATACTTCGCCCGCTTCAACGGCAGCGCCAGGGGAGATCTACCACACGGAGGGCTTGGTGCGTGGACTCTTCAAAGGTGTCTCCATGAATTGGATCAAAGGACCCATAGCAACTTGACGCCGCAATTGGCCTCGTTGGAATCAATGGATCGGAAAAAAAAGGGAACATCTTCACCGGAAACCATGGGTTTTTACATGTTTTTACCATGAAATTCATGGGGGTTTTCCGGTAAAATTTTCCCGTAACCGTGGCGCCAATGACCGAACTTGGACGACGACCGTGGCCGGCTTATCGGAGATGATTCGTCTTTATTTCATGGTAAGATAATGAACATAGATACCATCAATAGTTATTAATTATTACCATTAATAAAATATAGGTAAATTTGTTGAAGTTCATGTTGGGTCCATTTTTTCCAAACCTTCCGAATGCCAAATGTAGAAATGGGGGCCCCAAAACTCTCAGCGTGGCATCCGAGGCGGTTGGGGTGTCCTTTACCGCGCCTTGGTGCCATCGCAGATGGGGAAAGATGTGGAGAATGTGGTCAGCCCAAGAATGAACCAACCCCCAAAATCATCCAAAATCATCCAAAATCACGATTTTTGATGGGATTCCAACCATCACCAAATAGTAGTTGTTCATTTTATTGGGTTGCCAACACTACTCCATCTCATTTACCCTTGAGAAAGGCTCCTTTGGTGCCTGGTTCCTTCTCCTCAACCGGTTGAGTGCAGGGCCATGTAAAATCAATTAAAATCATGGTTAACAACAACTAACAACTGTTATACCATTAGTGGCCAGTAAAGTCAATTAAACTCAAGGTTAGCAGGGGTAGACTTGGCCTGGAGCCTCACTGGCGAGATTTCGCACCAAATCCCCACAGATTCTACGTGTTGTATGGCCTTCCTGGAAGCCATGGCGAAAGTACCAAAGTTGTCATTCTCAGCCGATTTCAGGTAAAACATAGATGTCACTTTCACATTCGTTGATTGATCGGTAGAGAGGTTCCCTCCTTGACTAACCAATAGAGAATGAGAGAGAGAGAGAGAGAGAGGTGGGGATGTGTGTAGTATTCTCAACTACACCTGCAGTTTTTCCCAGAAAGAACATCATGGATCTCAGCATTAATAGTCCCAAGCATCTCCCTCCATGTTTGGAGCACACCTCCAAAGCCTGCGAGGTCAACGATGTCTTGAAGAAGCACCTGATGCGACACCACTAGTGATTGGGGTCCAAAAACCATGAGTACACGAGCACCTTCAAATATCTTCAAAGCACAACCAGATTCACGTGGGTTCTGCCAAGGCCACATGGGTTCACCCAGATTGCACCGAAATGATTCTGGATGAAAACAGAAAATGTGAAAAGGACCCCCAAACCCAGGATGCCATCCCACTCTTCTGAGAGATCAACTGAGGGAGATTCGGGGCAATTCCATGGTTTTTGGACCTGGTTCCAGATGGGGTGCATTTTTGACGACCATGTGCATGTCCAGGGAAGGAAGGCGGCTTTGCAATATCACAACGGACGGCAATGGCGGCACCTGCTGCCACACCCAGATGGTGCTGGCTTCCGCCTACAAGCGGTGAAATCAGGGCAATGACATGGCATTGATGATTACTTTTTGTGTAATGTGGGTAGAACAATAATAAACCATCCCCCAGTCATCACCATAAATAGGTGGTATGTTTACCAATGTTTGCCATTCCCAAATGGGTGGTTTATTATTGTTTTACCCACATTATTTTTTCTGGAGGGGGGAGGCGCTGCCAAACTCTGTGATAATCAGCTGTTGGAAAATTCCGATACCAAGCCATCCCAGTGCCACACGCGCTCGTCACGGTGCCCTCGAACTTTGGAGTTAAAGCTCCCAATCCCTGCAATCTCGTCCAGATGCTGCCCTCGAAGTGGGTGTGCATGGGCCGTGGGGTTCACGTGCTCACGATTGGTTGATGTTGTAGATTCTGTAGAGTCGAGTCTATGGATGTCTTTTGCGTGTTTTGGTCCCTGGGACACTTGCAGTTGTATATGTATGTATATGTATATATATATATTATGTATTATTATGTTGTAGTTATGTATAGTTGTCATAGTGTTTTGTGTATTCACAGGTTCCAGGAAGTTGTTTGATATCTGAATCGTCGAATCGTCGAGTGGGGTGAGCCACGGGCACGAAACATTTTCCCGCCCCCTGACTTTGCAGCCTGGGGGTTTTATTGCCGCCCCACAGCACCCTTCCCCACAGGGGGGTGAGGCTGAACAGTTGTTGCTGCAGAAAATTGGTAGCCTGCGGGGCCACTGTGCTGCTGTCACTAGTTAGGCTGTGTGCCCTCGAGCCCTTGACATTGTTTGACAATGTTTGACAGATGGAAATACCCAGCTGAAATTGTTTCTGACAACCTGACAATGCACCGAAGATATTGAAAATCATGATGGCCCCCTGGAACCTAACATGGACCCCCAAGACCTCAATCAAAAGACGAAACTGGAAGACGTTTTTGCCCTTGGACATGGCCCTGCCCCCCCACCAGGTACGCTCAGATGAAGGTCCGCAGCACAACTCTGTTCTACTCGGTGGCTCGGAGCTCAGAAAGATTCAGAGTCTGTCCCTGGCCAGGTGCAATGCAGACTTGCAACCCCGGGCATCAAAGGAGTTATAGCAGTTATATATTATAAGGTTTACCCTCTGGTAAATTAAATTTAATTTGACATAGCTATGGCTATGGAAGCCATGGCCCATTTATTTTCGGATGATTTGCATTGATTTGCCTATATTAAACATATTAAAACTAGTGATTTTCCGTAGCAAACCCTTAAATTACCAGAAAGTAGCCATGCCACCCCTAGGCCCAGGAAGCTTTGCGTCGACTGCCGGAGTTCAGAGAGCGGGTCTGGTGCTCAGGGAGGTGCTTGACAGAGGTTTATTTGAAAGGATAATCTATGGATCCCTGTTCATGAGTTTATTATTCTGAGTGATTGCTGAGGTATTCTAAGTTTCTCTATGTTCTTGAAAGACGTATCTGTAGTGTTCCATCGGGATGTAGCCAGTGAACCAGTTGTATTCAATTAGCTCATAGAAGTTCATATGCTTTTTGGGTGATGGCTGGAAGCTGTCAGCATCTCGAAGATTCTTTCAACTGGGCAATGTTGGATAGGTATAGGTAATTCAATGCTTTCGTCTATTGCCATAAATCAGAACGTATCAGAATGTTTGCAAAGTACTTTTGGCATCTTTTGGCAGGGGGTATATAAGGTTGGATGAAGCACACTTATGACTTATGACTGCTAGGGGCCACTGACACTGACTCAGCATTTGAAGCACCTTAGCAACCCTTGGAGGTATCAAAAGTGCTTCCCACCTTGGAGAAGGGGACCTATTTTTTTGGGATGTTTCTACTCATATCATCATTAAGAAAGAATATGATGATCATGATGTCATGTTAGCATCCCTGTATATCCCTGTGTACATTTCCACTATGAAATTTTAAAGGAGGGCCATTTATTTAGGGATTTTTTTTTTTAGTTTAGGTTTTTTTTTTTGGATTTCTTCCTGCTTACTCTATTGCCTCCTGCAGTGCTTCTCTGCTTCTTTGCTTCTATTCCTTTTTTTGCTTTTCTTGCTTTTCTTTGCTTTTTTGCTTTTTTGCTTCCCTTGCTTTTATTCGCTTTTTTGCTTTTCTCGCTTTTCTCGCTTTTCTGCTTTTCTTTGCTTTTTTGCTTTTCTTGCTTTTCTTTGCTTTTTTGCTTTTTTGCTTCCCTTGCTTTTCTTCGCTTTTTTGCTTTTTTGCTTTTCTCGCTTTTCTCGCTTTTCTGCTTTTCTTTGCTTTTTTGCTTTTCTTGCTTTTCTTTGCTTTTTTGCTTTTTTGCTTTCCTTGCTTTTCTTTGCTTTTTTGCTTTTCTCGCTTTTCTGCTTTTCTTTGCTTTTTAGCTTTTCTTGCTTTTCTTTGCTTTTTTGCTTTTCTTTGCTTTTTTGCTTTTCCATGAGGTGTGGAGCAACATCAACAACAACAACAACACCAATACCAACAACAACAACAACAACACCAACACCAACACCAACACCAACAACAACAACAACAACAGCAACAGCAACAGCAACAACAACGACAACGACAACGACAACGACAACGACAACGACAACGACAACGACAACGACAACGACAACGACAACGACAACAACAACACAACAACAACAGCAACAACAACAACAACGACGACAACAACAATAACAACACTATCAACACAAACACAACCGCCAGCAACAACACCACCACCACCACCACCACCAACAACAACACCACCACCACCACCAACAACAACAACAGCAACAACAACACTAACACAACACAAACAACACTAACAACACTAACAACACTAACAACACTAACAACACTAACACTAGCAACACTAACAACACTAACGGTAACAACAACAACAACACTAACAACAGCAACAACAACAACACCACTAAACAAAAAACAACAACAACAACAACACCACCAACACCAACACCAACACCAACACCAACACCAACAACAACAACAACAACAACAACACCAGCACCAACACCAACACCAACACCAACACCAACACCAACACCAACACCAACACCAACACCACCAACACCAACACCAACACCACCACCACCACCACCAACAACAACAACAACAACACCAACACCAACACCAACAACAGTAACAGTAACAACAAACAACTGTTGGAATGTCAGCCTTCAGCTCCAAAATCCTGCAAGTACTGTGAGGAATGTAGCTGTAAAATGTTGCACATATGGTGGAAATCCAGATTCCAGCTCAAAAATGCTGCAAAGAGCATGGAAAATGGACAGAACATGCTGCAAACTGTTGCAAATACCGTGGAAAATACAATGGAAAATGAGAGGTTCGAACTCAAAACCGTTGCACATACCGTGGAAATGGCAGTTTCCAGCTCCAAAATGCTGCAAATAGCATGGAAAATGGTGAGAACCGGAAATCCAAAAAAAATTCCCCAAACTAAAAAAAAACAATCCCCAAACAATTTCCTACCCAATTTTAAATGGCTTGACCCATGTTCCATTCCAGGGGCATTTTTCTAACAAAAGGAGGCATTTTGTAAGGGCATTTTTCTGGTCAACCATGGGTGAACAGGTGAGAAATTCACCGTGAGGATCTCTCCATCACCGCGTGGTCCTACGGTCGCCTGGAGCTACGGGAAGAGACCTTGATCCTGGCCATCAGCCGCTGGGACGCGGCGTCAGATGTGGTTAGATCATCTCAGGATATCTTAGGTTTGCATGGAAGTTGGATGATCATCTGGACGATCTTAGATGATTTATCTATATTTATCTTAGATGATCTCACATGATCCATATATCTTAGATTATCTTAGATGTCAGTTAGATGAATCAGCCCACCAGGTCGAGAAGCCGCCGCCCCGGCATGGCTTTGCCCGGAGAGTGGGAGGGGATGGAGGGGTCCCCGTGCACCCCACCCGCTGCCCTGGCCATCTTGGCGCCAGATGTCTCGTGATTTCCGTGGAAAGCATCAGGTTCATTGGGTGGGCCAGCTTTGGGTGGTGTCTGAGTCAGGTGACTGCCTCAAGCCACCTTAAATCACCTAAAATCATCTGAAATCTTTTTTTTGCATTGGTCCAGTTGGTCCTTACAAGACGGAACTGTTCCAAACTGTTGCCAAGACTCTTATATTGCCAGTCTACTTGGCCTGGGGTTTGGAGGATGCTGAGCTGGCCACCACACATTGTCACCTGGATGCTGACCGATGCCTGCAGGAAATTGCGAACTTGTGCTGGGCAATGGCTCAATTGGATTTACGCCTGAGCCTCGTGGGGGGTTTGGACTTTGGATCAGGTGCGGGTCTGGCAAGATGGGGCAGTTTGAGGTGCAGACATGCCCAGTGCATCTCAGTGTCAGCTATGAACATGGACATGGATGAATGGGCACTTCTCAGGTGAATGAGTTGTGTGTATCCAATAGTATCGGGTCCTGATTGTTGTGAATCATTCTGTTAGAGGACAGCTTTGAGATGGGCTTGGGCATCAAACTCCATGAAATGCCTCTGTCTTGAACTGAAGGCTCCATGGCACCATGGTTTTGATATGTTTTGACCAGCCGTGTTGATGCTGTAGAATTTGGGGTCGCACTTGGGATAGAGAGGATACGGCCTAATTGGAGGAGCTGTGGTTGTTTGCACTTTTATGATTGTT